GGATGTGGAGCTGAGCTGCTGCAGGGGGGTGAGGGGGTCCCCACAAGAGAAGGATCTACTGAGCTGCCTCCTGCCCACTGGGCATTGCTGTGCAGTCCCAAACTGACCTGGAATATTTCTGTCTCTTCCTCTGGGGTGGCAGGAGTGGTTTGGGGTGTTTTAGAGTTGGACAAGCAAGACTTAGAGCAAGCAGGGAACAGCAATGGCTTGGGGTGGGGAACTCAGGAGGACCCTAAGCCTTTCCTGGAGGTCCCTCCTGACAATCCAGGGATTCATTTCGTGCTGCTTGGTGTGTCAGCCCAGCACTGGCTGCGCTGCTGGGGCTGTGGGGGGGATCCAGCCCCACCCCAGCCCTCAAGGGACTGACGCTTTCCACGTGCCAGATCCGGGAGCTGGTGCCAGAATCTCAGGCCTACATGGACCTCCTGGCCTTTGAGCGCAAGCTGGACCAAACCATCGCTCGGAAGAGGATGGAGATCCAGGAGGCCATAAAGAAACCCCTGACGGTGCGTGGCAGCCCTGCCTGGGAGGGGTGGGGGCTGCAAAGCACGGGATCCTGGAATCACAGCGTTGGCAAGGTTGGGAATAAACCTCTAAGACCACCAAGTCCAACCATCAGCCCAGCACCAGCACTAAACCATGTCCCCAGGTGCCATGTCCACACATCTTTTGGACAGTTCCAGGGATGGTGACTCTACCTGTGCCCTGGGCAGCCTGTTCCAGTGCTTTACAAGCCTTTCTGGGAATAAGTTTTCCCTAATATTTAATGTAATAATTAATCTAATTTCATTTTAATCCAAACCTCCCCCGGTGCAAACTTGAGACCATTCCCTCTCATGCAGAAGTAGGAGTGGGTGCTGCAGTGACCTTCTCTCTCCAATCATCCTCACCCTCTGGTTTTCCCATTCCACAGCAAAAGCGGAAGCTGAGGATTTACATCTCCAACACTTTCACCCCGGCCAAGGAAGAGGGAGAGGGAGGGGAGCGTGTGGCCTCCTGGGAGCTGCGTGTGGAGGGCAAACTGCTGGAGGATGTAAGGATCTGGGAGGGATGGAGTGGTGGGGGAGGAATGCTGATCCCCAAGGATCCAGGAGGGATGAAGGGCTGGTGCTGTGAGCCAAGAGCTCGTCTGGGATGGACACGGCCCTGCTCCAGGGGCTGGAGGTGGGCGTGGGCTGAGGCCCTCCCTGGCTGGAGGGGTCAGACAAATCTCTGCTGCTCTGTTTGCAGCCCAGCAAGCAGAAGAGGAAGTTCTCCTCTTTCTTCAAGAGCCTCGTCATCGAGCTGGACAAGGAGCTGTATGGCCCAGACAACCATCTGGTGGAGGTGAGGCACGAGGAGTGCTGCTTCCCCTCTGGGTGCTCAGCTCCCCCAGCCCAGGGGCATGTCCTGCTGCAAGAGAGGGGTGGGCAAGGTGTTTCTGTGTGCCAGGGGGTGCCAAACCCTCCTCAGCTGCTTTCCGGGCTCGAGTTTAGGGGCTGCATTTTCTTCCCTGGGTGCTGGTTCCTGGCAGCAGCTGCTGCTGCCAACCCTGCAAAGGCTGCAGCCAGAGCCAGGAGTTGTGGGGCTGCAGCGAGGACGTGGCTCCAGAGGCAGCTCGGGGAGCCCTGGACCCCCCAGGTTGGCAGAGTGAGGCCCCAAAAGGGTGATGATGCCACTCAGGAGGCTCATCCACACACATTTGGTGCCGTGTGGGAAGAAGGGGCTGCCCCTCTCGCCTGTCAGCCTTGCTGGAAAGTCCTCACAGGGAGATTAAACACTGTGAGTGGCATCAGACCTTTCTTGGGTGCTCCTGCCTGGACCCTGCTCTTGCTTTTTCCTGTGGGAAACGCTGATTTCTGCGGTGGTGGAATCCCCTCCACATGTGGGATTGTGAGCAGCTCTGATGTGCATCCCCTGCCGTGGCTGGGGCAGGATTGATCCTGCACTGGCTCCAGGAGCTGTTGGAGCCCTTGACCTCAAGCACTCAGGGCTGGAACTGCCCCAGCCCATCCAAAATGCTGCTCCATGGCTGGGCTGGAGCACATCCACGTGGACTGGGTGTCACCCCCTGGGATGAGACTCCCAGGAGCTGCCAGAGGTGGGCTCCCAGTGGGTTATCCTGGTCCTGGATTGACCAGTGTCCCCTTGGTGTGGCAGTGGCACCGGATGCCCACGACCCAGGAGACCGACGGCTTCCAGGTGAAGCGTCCCGGGGATGTCAACGTGAAGTGCACTCTGCTGCTCATGTTGGATCACCAGGTATGGTGATCCCTGCGGCCTCACAGGGGCTGGGAGTACCTGCTGCCCTCCCTCCAGCACGGCCCAACCTGGGAGGGGCAGCCCGGGGTGGGGAACGGGCTTGGATGAGGGTTAGGGGTGCAGGGATCACGAGGGGGAGCACAGGGAGCTCTGGGGGACTGACCCACAGCCCGTGGTGACACTGTGTGGGACTCCCTGCTCAGAGGGGCCTCCCAAGTGCCAGACAGACCGACCCCCACCACACTTCTTTGGGCATCAGAAGGAATTTCTTCATGGGAAGGGTTGTTAAACGTTGGGATGAGCTGCCCAGGGAGGTTGGTGGGTGGGGTGGCAGGGTGGGAGTGGCTCACAGGTTGGACTGGGTGATCTGGGAGGGCTTTTCCAACCTCGCTAACTCCATGACTGTCCCTGCTGTGTCCCTGCAGCCCCCGCAGTACAAGCTGGACCCCCGCCTGGCCCGGCTGCTGGGGGTGCACACCCAGACCCGTGCCAGCATCATGCAGGCCCTCTGGCTCTACATCAAGCACAACAAGCTGCAGGACAGCCACGAGAAGGAGTACATCAACTGCAACCGCTACTTCCGCCAGGTACCACCCCTGGGATGGGGGAAAAACACCCTTCCCACCCACTCCAGCCAGGAAAAGCCTCTTCTCTGGCTGTCACAGACTCTCCAATCTGCCCAGCCTCCATTTACCCCTTCCCCAGGCTCTGGTTTGCATCCCTCACCTTGCCACGCTCAAACCAGGGCTGGGGATCCACCCACCTGCCTGGACAGGTGGCAGAAGGCCCTGCCATGGGCAGCAAACTCTCTGCTTTGCCCCCTCCAGATCTTCAACTGCATCCGCATGCGCTTCTCCGAGATCCCCCTGAAGCTGGCGGGGCTCCTGCAGCACCCGGATCCCATCATCATCAACCACACCATCAGGTGGGGGGCAGTGGGATGGGCAGCATTCCCGGGGCTGGGGGGCTCTGGGGGATGGGCAGTGGGATAGGCAGTGTCCTCGGGAGTGGGGGGCCCTGTGGGGTGGGCAGTGGGCTGGGCAGTGTCCTTGGGAGTGGGGGGCTTTGTGGGCTGGGCAGTGTCATTGGGAATGGGGGGCTTTGTGGGCTGGGCAGTGTCCCCAGGCTCCAGGGAGGGGAGGGCCAGGAGGCTTCTTGAGGTCTCCAGCCCAAAGGAACAGTCAGCACGAGTCACCCATGAGGGGAAGAATCAGCCAAACAAATCTGGGGGTTCCTTGGGGCAGTCTGGGGGTCAGTCCACCCCCACAGCAGGGTGGAGGGTGAGGAGGGCCCCCCCTGCCAACACCCCGTGTCCTCCCAGCGTGGACCCCAATGACCAGAAGAAGACTGCCTGCTACGACATCGACGTGGAGGTGGACGATCCCCTGAAGGCTCAGATGAGCAACTTCCTGGCTTCCACCACCAACCAGCAGGAAATTGCCTCCCTGGATGCCAAGGTGGGGGGCACTGCCAGGGGACAGCCCTGCAGAGCCGGGGGCAGCGGGGTGATGTCTTGTTTGGGGGGTGACACAGCTCCCTCTCACCCCTCTCCTCTCCCCAGATTCATGAGACCATCGAATCCATCAACCAGCTGAAGACACAGAGGGATTTCATGCTGAGCTTCAGCAACAACCCACAGGATTTCATCCAGGAATGGATCAAATCCCAGAGGAGGGACCTCAAGGTAAAGGGGAGGTATTGCCAGGGGAGGGTTAAGTTGGATATTAGGAAAAATTTCTCCGTGGAAAAGGCTGTCCAGCCCTGGCACAGCTGCCCAGGGCAGTGGTGGAGTCACCATCCCTGGAAGTGTTCGAAAACGTGTGGATGTGGCTCTTGGGAACATGGCTTAGTTATGAGTTGATGGTTGGACTTGATGATCTTAAAGCTCTTTTCCAATCTTAACAATTCCATAATTCTCAAAACCCTGGTGCTGGGCAGAGGGAGGGGGTTTGGGTCCATCCCTGGTGCTCATTCCATGTGGCTCCCACCCCCTTGTGTTGCTCAGATCATCACGGATGTGATCGGGAACCCCGAGGAGGAGCGACGGGCGGAGTTCTACCAGCAGCCCTGGGCGCAGGAGGCTGTGGGCAGACACATCTTTGCCAAGGTGGGCTCCTGGGGGGGGACAGAGGGGGTTGGCATGGCACCGAGGGGATCCCTCTGACTGCTCTGCTCTCCTCCAGGTCCAGCAGCGCCGGCAGGAACTGGAACAAGTGCTCGGGATCCGCCTCACCTAAAGGGCGGGTTGGGGCTCGGGGGCTCCTCCTCTCTCGCTGCTGCCTGAGCCTGACGGTACTTACTGGAATCAAACAGCACTTGCACAAACCCGACGTGCCTGGAGGGACTGGGATCCGCTCACACCCCTGGGCTCCACCGGGCCGGGAAGTTCTGGCCCGGGGCAGAGCGCAGAGAGGGGGATCCCCTGTCCCCCCAAAGCCCCCGCAGTAACGCCCCCTCCTCCTGCTTTGCATCGCGCCCCTCGCCCCTCCCTTAGAGCCCCCGCGGCCCCTCCCGATGCCCAAAAAACCTCCGGGAGCCGGGAAGAGCTGCCCGTGCCGAGGGGGAGGTGCTGCCAAGCCCCTCCCTGAGCCCAGCAGGCCCAGCCCTGCCCCTCTTCAACCAAAGTTTGTCATTCCAAACGCCAGCCCCAACACCCCACCCCCCGGCCCCGCCGGTGCCCGACGTTTTGCACTATTTTTGTGAACAGGTTTTATATAAAAAAAAAAACACACGCAAGAAAAAAAAAAAAAAAAAGGAAGCGTTTTGTACAGTGGGTTTGTATTTGATTAATATATTGAGTTCCTCTTCCCTGCACTTGTGGCCCGGGCTCTGCAGGGAGCTCAGGGTGTGCTCCAAGGCTCCCTTACGACAAGGAGCCAAGGGTTCAGGTTAAGTGTTTGACAATCAGTTCATTCCTCCACCCCCTCCCCCCTGTTTTACATAATTAGTGATGCGTCTTGAGGGGGCAGAGGGGGTAGCTCTGCCCACGGGAGCCTGGGGGCAGTGGGGTCACTGGGCACCAAGAACTGGAGATAACTGGGGAGGGAGGGGATCACTGCCACCCCCTGCCAGTTCCCTTGAAGTGCCTTGGCCCCCCACCTGCAGGCTCCCAAGGGGAGGGGGGGCGTTTACATATTCCCAGGGTGTTCCCAGGCTCAGGGGTGCCTGCTCTGCCTCTCGTGTAACCTTTTTTTTTTTTTTTTTTTTTGGTCTATTTTGGATATTTTTTAATAAAACCAGTTAGCAGCAGCACTGTGGGGGTGTGTTGAGTCCTGCAGCTCTGGGGGGAGGGGGGGGGAAACTGTGTCGAGTCCTGGCCCCACCCTGTCCCCAAATCAGTGCCCAGGCCTGGCCTCAGTTGCGCTTTATTCAAGTGACAGCACACAGAGCAGCTCCAGCCCCACCATTACTTCCACAGCTTCTTGATGGACATGTTCTTCTCACTGTCCTTCTGCATCACCTGGGTGGGGATGGGGGAAGGGTTGGTTGCAGTGTGCAGCCCCCAGACTGGGTGCCAACAACCCCCCCCAAAACACCAGACCTCAGCCCTGCACCAGGAAGGCACAGCAGCCTGGCTCTGGCTGGGCCCCATCAGCCTCTTCCACATCACTGACAGCAAACAACGCTGTTGTTTGTCCCCACTGCTGACCCCCCTCCAAGCCCTGCAGCTCTCAAGTCCTGGCAGACAGTGCCCAGGACACTTTGTGCTACCAAAACCCACCCTCACCCCCTGTTTTGCCTCCCCACCCCCCCACACTTACCTTGGCCACAGCCATTTCAAAGTCCTCCTGCGTGACGTGCACCCTCCTCTCCCTCAGCGCGTACATTCCTGCTTCTGTGCACACGCCCTGGGGGGGACAGGCTGTCACACACCGCTCCCCAGTGCCCCCCAGTGCCACCCCAGTGCCCCCAGCTCACCTTCACCTCCGCGCCCGACGCCCCCGGCATCAGCTCGGCGATCTTGCGCAGGTTGATGCCCCGCGTCAGGTTCATTTTGCGGGAGTGGATCTTGAGGATGTCCAGGCGGGCCTGGAGCAGTGGGGGTTAGTGCCATGGGGATGGGGACAGCAGGGGACAGGTAGAGCTCAGGAGGACCCTCACCCTCCACGTACCTCCTCGTTGGGAGGGGGGAACTCGATCTTCCTGTCGATGCGGCCGGGGCGCAGCAAAGCCGAGTCCAGGATGTCGATGCGGTTCGTGGCCATGATCACCTGCACGGGGACGGCAGCTGTCACCACTGTGGGGCCAGCAGGACGCGTCCCTGTCCCCAGGCGGGGCTGGCACTCTCCTACCTTGATGTTCTTGGTGGCCTCGAAGCCATCCAGCTGGTTGAGGAGCTCCAGCATGGTGCGCTGCACCTCGCTGTCCCCGCCCGAGCCGCCCTCCAGGCGGGACGAGCCGATGGAGTCGATCTCATCCATGAAGATGATGGAGGGCGCATGTTCCCGGGCCATCACGAACAGCTCCCGCACCATGCGGGCACCTGCAGGGTCACAGGGCTGAGCCTGGCACTGTGACCGCCCAGGGGGACAGCCCTGATGTCCCCTGTCCCTCCCTTGAGCCACCTCTTACCTTCCCCAATGAACTTCTGCACCAGCTCGGAGCCCGACACGCGGATGAAGGTGCAGTCGGTGTGATGGGCCACGGCCCTGGCCAGCAAGGTCTTGCCTGTGCCGGGGGGGCCATAGAGCAGCACCCCCTGAAAGGGCCACACAAGACACTTCAGACCCCGAAGGGGACATGGGGACAACCCCCCAGGGCCCCCCAGCAGCACTTACCTTGGGCTGGGCAATGCCCAGCGCCTCGAAGAGCTCCGGGTGCTTCACAGGCAGCTCAATCACTTCCTTGATCTCTTTGATCTGCTTGTCCAGGCCTCCGATCATCTCGTACGTGGAGTCCGGGACCTTCTCCACCATCATCAGGGACACCAGCGGGTCCACCTTGTTGGGCAGGATCTTGTGCAGGGTGTAGCTGTCGTTCCGCAGGGCCACGCGGCAGTTCGGGGTCACCTGTGGGGACACAGAGGGGGCATTGGTGTCCCTGCCAGCCCCAGGGGGGATCAGTGTCCCTGCCAGCCCCATGAGACCAGTCAGGACCCCTCCCACGGCCCCAGGATCCTCACGTCGTTGATGTCGATGTTCTTGTCCACGTCTACCACAAACTTCCCCTCGGGGTGCACCTGGAAGGCAGAGATGTCACTGTGAGTTATTTCTCTGGGAAGCTCCCTGCTTTGTGCCCAATATCCACCAGGAACATATAGCTAAGGAGCTCAACCACCACTAAACACCTTATAGCCCCTCCCGCCTCTCACCAGCCTGGGGAAGATCTGGGCCCAGCAGAGCCATCCTGCAGACAAAGAGCTCCCACTCCACATCTCCGAGATGTCACATCCCCCCACCTCATGCTCCCACTTGCTGTGACCCCCCCTGAGCTCACAGGCTCTCTCAGCCCCCACCCCAGCCCTGACCACCCTCGGGACAGCTCGGCCTCGCACCTTGACAAGCACTTTCTTCTTGTCCATGGCTCTCACCACCTCTCCCACGTAGGATCCCTGCTCCTGCAGCAGCTGCAGCTCCTCCCGCAGCAGCCGCACTGCGGGGAGGGACAGAGCTCAGCACCAGGCTCTGCCTGGGGCAGAGGGGCAGCACAAGGGGCACAGCAGCCCCCAGTGAGGAGGAGGAGGAGGGTGCAGGCCGTACCCTTGGCGTTCAGCTCGTTCCTCTGCGCCTGCAGCCGCCGCAGGTTCTGGCTCTTCTCGTTCACGATGAGCTGTGGGGACAGAGCCTGGATGAGCCCTTGGGCTCCATCCTGGGCACCAGCACTGGCACCGTTATCACGGCAGCTGTGGGGACACGGCCACACTGCCCTGGTGTCCCCAGGCAGGACAGGGCTCACCTGCAGCTCCTCGATCTTGGACAGGTAGTACTGCCGCAGCCCCGAGCCGCCCTTCCCATCGTCCATCTCCATCTGGGAGAGAGCACAGCTCAGTGGCACCGACCCCTAGACCCACCCTGACTCCCGTGGGCCGGGTCGTGCACCCCCCTTTCCCTAACCCCTCCATCCTCTGCTCCCCGGTTCCCAATTCTATTCGCATCTCTCCTGGGCCCCCTTTTTTCCATCCTCTATCCCCGCAGTCCCCAATTCCCCTCCCGACCCCCTCGACCTGGGTCCTGGATCCAGTTCCCTTCCCCACTCTGACCCCCCAACCCCAATTCCCCCCCACCCGGCTCCTGGATCCCCCTTTTCCCTTCCCCTCCATTCTCTGCCCCTTGGTAGCCAATTCCCACCTTGGTCCCTCCTGGATCTCCCCCTTCCCTCTCCCCCACCCTCACAATCCCGCCGTGCCTGGTCCCGCACCCTCCCGGGGGGGCCGAGGCGAGACCCGCCGAGTCACGGCGCGGCCATGCCCGGGGCAGTGCGGGTCGCAGCAGAGCCGTGGGGCCGCACAGAGCACCCCGAGCCCCCCGCCCGCCCGCCCGCAGCCCCGGCCCGGCCGGGCCCGGCCCCACCTGCTCGGGCCCGTCCAGCGCCATCTTCTCCGCCGGCATCGACCCCAACAAAGATGGCGCCCCCCGCCTTCCGCTGCCCGGCCCCTGCGCGCCTGGCGCGATGGCGTCACTTCCTGTCCCAGAGGCACCGGAGGACACTCCCTTACTTCCGGGATGCAGGGCGCCGCCATCTTGGCGTGGTCAGAGGTGATTCCCCCCGTGTTGTAAGGCGCCGGAGGGGACGGAGAGGGTTGTGGACGCGCCTCCGAGGGGACACGTGATCGTTCCACGAGCCTCCCGTTGCCGTTCCCCTTCTCTCGTCGCCCTCGGCAGCCCGTCTGGCCGCGGCGGAGGGGGGGTGCCACTCCCAAGATGGCGGCTAGAAAGGGACCAACCGGAAGTTGTTGGGTGTGCGCGGGGCACGCCGGGAAGGGAAGGGCCTGTGGGCACGCGGCGGCCCCGGGAGCGGGAGCGGGAGCAGGACCGGGATCGGGATTGGGATCGGCCCCCCCGCCGCCGCCATGGGCAAGAAAAGCAAACTGGGAAAGAGCCGGCGGGACAAGTTCTACCACCTGGCCAAGGAGACCGGTGAGGGGCCTGCCCGGCGCTGGGGGCGGGGGGGTTGCAGCCCCCTGTCACCCAGGTAACCCCCGGTAATCCCCGGTGTGTCCCCGGTGTGCCCCCAGGGTTCCGCTCCCGCTCGTCCTTCAAGCTGCTCCAGCTCAATCGGAAGTTCCAGTTCCTGCAGAAGGCCCGGGCTCTGCTGGATCTGTGTGCGGCCCCTGGCGGGTGGTGAGTGGCGTCCTGATGTCCCCAGCTGCCCAGGGACACTGTCACAGGGTCCTGTGTGTGCCCTGTCGCTGTGTCTGTGTCCTCCATCCCAAATCCCCGCAGCACAGTCCAAGGCTGGGGGTTCTCCTGGGTGGTTTCACTGCTCTCTTCTCTTTCCAGGCTTCAGGTGGCTTCCAAATTCATGCCGGTGTCCAGCCTGATCATTGGTGAGTGGGGGGATCTGGTAGGAACGAGGGGCAGGGGCATCCACCACTGCCCCTGGAAATGACAGGGAAAGGATTGGGGATCCTGGGAGGAGAAGAGGATGGGCGGGGGAGCCGTGTGGGGTGGGCTGGAGCCTGGTTTTGAGGGGCTGGGATGTCCTTCATCGTCCCCAGGAGTGGATTTGGTCCCCATCAAGCCCATCCCCAACGTGGTGACGCTGCAGGAGGACATCACCACCGAGAAATGCCGCCAGGTGAGTCCCTCCCCCGGGTGTCCCCTGCCGCCCTGGGGCTCAGGGCAGGTCATGGCCCACCCCACCCACTCAGGTGGAGGTCCCAGGAGGGATCCTGAGCGTCCCTGTCCCCCCAGGCCCTGCGCAAGGAGCTGCAGACGTGGAAGGTGGACGTGGTGCTGAACGACGGGGCGCCCAACGTGGGGGCCAGCTGGGTGCACGACGCCTACTCCCAAGGTGGGGCTGCTCTGGGGGCACCAGGGGTGTACCAGTGAGAGGTGGGTGGTTGCTCTTAGGGCCACAGGATGGTTTGAGTCGGAAGGGATGTTAAAGACCTTTCACTTCCCACCCCCTGCCACGGGCAGGGACATTTTCCACCAGCCCAGGTTGCTCCAAGCCCCGTCCAACCTGGCCTTGGACATTTCCAGGGATCCAGGGGCAGCCACAGCTTCTCTGGGAAGGTCACACCTTCATTCCCTCTTCTCTCCTGCTCCAGCCAACCTGACCCTCATGGCCCTGAAACTGGCCTGTGAGTTCCTCTGCAAGGGCGGCTGGTTCATCACCAAGGTTTTCCGTTCCCGGGACTACCAGCCCCTCCTGTGGATCTTCCAGCAGTTCTTCCAGAAGGTCCAGGCCACCAAGCCCCAGGCCTCCCGCAACGAGTCCGCTGAGATCTTTGTGGTGTGCCAGGGTGAGCACCTGGGGGGCACCTGCAGCTGCTGGGGGAACCTGCTGATGGCTCTGCTCCCTCCCTCCCAGGAGGAGGGGCTCTGATGGCTCTGATCTCTTCCTCCCAGGTTACCAGGCTCCAGATAAAATTGATAGCAAGTTTTTTGACCCCAAATATGCTTTCAAGGAGGTGGAGGTCCAGACCAAGTCTGTCAGCGAGCTGGTCAGCAAGAAGAAACCAAAGGTAATGAGCAAGGGCCAAACACACAAACGGGAGTGGGGCTGAAGAGATTGTAATGAGCAGAATTGATCAGGAAATGATCAGGAAAATTAAAGATGCAGAGTGGTGGGAGAACTAGTTTTGGGGAGGTTTTCAGTCCTAGAAGTTGCTGCAGCAATGGTCAAACAGAGATATAACTTGTGAGACTGGGAATGGGTCAGTTAAATCTTGCAGTTAAACCCGTCAGTTCAACTCCCTACAAGCATTGACCACTGGGTTTGTGTCCTTATGAGGTGTTTTTAGGACAGTAAAGGTCGCGTCAGGTGGTTTTAACTGGGCATGGAGCTGACACAAATCTCTCACTGTCAGCTTCTCTGTGCCTGGGGTGGGACTGGGGGATGCTGTGGAGCTGCTGGGTTGGGGCTGGTGGACTCATGTGGCCTCACAGAATCGCTGAGGTTTGAAAACACCTCTGAGCTCATCAAATCCAACCATTACACACGTTCAGGTGGGCGTTGCAGCCGCACACGAGTTAGGTCACACCATCCATCTTTCAGGGCTGGTGGCAGCTGCTCGGTTGTGCCCTGCCCTGGTCCCCCCACAGCCCCTTTTCCCCCACAGGCAGAAGGTTATGCTGATGGGGACATGACCCTCTACCACCGGTTCACCCTCATGGACTTCCTCAAGGCTCCCAACCCCGTGGACTTCCTCTCCAAGGCCAACGAGGTGCGTGCCTGAAGGGAGGGGCACCCTTGGAGCTCAGAGGGATGAAAAGAGGGAGGGGAGGCTGGGGTTTAACACCCCCCTTTCCCTGTGCCCTGCCCAGATCACGCTGGGGAATGGGGAGCTGGAGAACCACAGCTCCACCACCGAGGAGCTGCGCCAGTGCTGCAAGGACATCCGCGTCCTGGGGCGCAAGGAGCTCAGGTACTGCAGGGACTGGGACAGGCAGACACACCAGCTGGGCATAGGGGGGGATATCTAACAGTTTGCCCCCTCCCAACAGAGCCCTGCTGAATTGGAGGACAAAGCTGCGTCGGTTTTTGGCCAAAAAGCTGAAGGAGCAGGCGAAGGAGCTGGATATCAAGTAGGAGCAAACAGCAGGGGTGGGATGGGTCTGTGCCCAGCACAGCTGCTCTGAGCTCCTTCCTTTTGGCAGCCTGAGCTCTGGGGAGGAGGAGGAAGGCAGAGAGGAGGAGGAGAAGAAAGAGAAGAAGATGGTGCCAAATGCTGAAGCGGAGGAGGTGGAGAAGGAAGAGAAGGAGGAGGAGGAGGTGGAGCTGGCATTGGCAGAGATGAAGGCCAAGGAGCTGGCGGAGTTGAAGAGGTAAAAAGATCTCAGGGAGGAGAGATGGAGGAGTACAGGGAGCTCGAGCCATGGGTACAGAGGTGGGACTGTCAGAGCCTGTTCCTGTGACAGTGGGTGGTTTGTGGGTCTGGAGTCCTTGGGCTCCTCTGCTCCTGCAAGCAACCGAAGCTGGAGATCCCCTTTGTCCCTGGGTTGGGGACTCTCCCCAGAGGGTGTCAGTGCTGCCGAGGGACACGTGGCACCACTGTGGCAGCGCATGAGCCTCTGGGGCGTGTGTGGCAGTGTGGCCTCACTCCTTTATCTCTCTCAGAAAGAAGAAGAAGATCCTGAAGGAGCAGCGAAAGCAGCGTGAGCGTGTAGAGCTGAAGATGGACCTGCCTGGCGTGTCCATCGCTGACGATGGCGACACCAGCATGTTCTCCCTCCGGAGCATCCACAGGACCCCGGTGCGTGGTGGGGGAGGCTCCCCAGGACCACCAGGGCTGGGACAGTGCCTGACTGGTGCCTTGTCTGACTTGTGTTGCAGCTGCTGGACGAGTTGTCCCGGGGGGACATGGCCTCAGCAGACGCCCTCCTGGAGATGGGCCCTGGGGACGATGACATTTATGTGTCAGATCATGAGGAAGGGGATGATGTGTCCCTGGCCAGCGACCTGGACCCCGAGGAGCTGCTGGAGATCGAGGCCCGGCAGCGCAAGCTGGAGCGGGAGAGGCGGGAGCAGGGTGGGAAGAGGTGAGAATGGGAGAGGCCTCCCTGGAGCAGCTCCAGGATCCAGCAGTGGGCACACGCTCTCCTGGGTGGGGACACCAATCCTGCTGCTCCTTGTCACAGGGCGAAGTTTAAGCAGAAGGAAGAAGAAAAGGAAGAAGAGGAGGAAGAGGAGAATCCCCTGCTGGTGCCCCTGGAGGAGAAGTCAGTGCTGGAGGAGCGACAGACCAGCCTGTGGTTCGGGAAGGTGAGTCCCCACTGGGACAGAAATGGTGGGGCAGCCTCAGGCCCAGCAGCTCCTCAGGGCTGCCCTGTGTCTGAGCCGCTGCTCCCCATCCCAGGACGCCTTTGCTGGCATCGAGGATGATGCAGATGAGGACCTGGAGCTGGGGCAGGCCCAGATGTTGGCTGAGAGACAGCGCGAGTCCCAGAGAGGTGAGGGGGGTGAATCACTGTAGGAGGGCACTGAGGGACAGTCCCACAGCCTAGTCTGGGGTTAAGATCCAACCACGATGGGGATGCTGCCCTGAGGAGTTTCGTGGAATGGTTGGTTTGTTGGAAAAACCTTAAAGGTCATCCAGTTCCAACCTGTGCCGTAGGCAGGGACACCTTTCACTAGGCCAGAGACTGTTCCCAGCCTGTGTTGTTAAAGATCTGTCATTAGTGCAGTGTTAATGAGCAGGATCTCTAGAGGAATGGTCTGCAGTGGGGTCTCCCTTGACCCTTTCTCACCCAGTGGTTCCCATTCCCAGACAAAGCAACGAAGAAAGGGCAGAAGAAGAAGCAGGTGCTCCAGGAGGAGGCTCCAGCCGAGCCCCCACCAGCCACAGACACAGCACCTGGCACTGTTAAAGCACAGGATGAGCAGAGCAGCGACGATGACAGCAGCAGTGATGAGGAGAGGTGAGGGCTGGGAAGGGAGTCAGGATGTTCTCCCCTGCTCCAGAGTCCTGGTGAACTGGAAGATGAGGACCCCAGCCCTGACCACGCTCCTCTCCACAGGCCACCAACAGCAATGAGGAGCAAGCGGGGCCGTGTCGAGCCGTGTGGCTTTGAGGTGGTGCCCATTGAGAACCCAGGTGAGGGGGAGGCCCTGTGAGTCCCTCTTTAGGGACAGGAGGCAGGGCCAGGCCAAGCTTTAACACGTCCATCCCGCAGTGAAAAGAGCCCGTGTCCTGGACGCAGAGGGCCTCGCCCTCGGCTCCGTCATCGCCACCTCCAGAAAGGCCCGGCGGGACCTCATCGACGACTCCTTCAACAGGTACCGGGCACGGGGGGGCTGCAGGCGTCGTTCTCCAGCAGGAGGTGGTGGATGAACCAAGGTGGGGACCCCTTGTCACCTGAGCGCCCCCCTTCCCCCAGGTATTCCTACAACGAGGACGAGGGGGAGCTGCCCGAGTGGTTCACGGAGGAGGAGAAGCAGCACCGGCGCAAGCAGGTGCCCGTGGACCGGCAGACGGTGGAGGCCTATCGGCAGCGCTGGCGCGAGATCAACGCCCGCCCCATCAAGAAGGTGGCGGAGGCCAAGGCCCGCAAGAAGCGGCGGGTGAGTGGGGCTGTGGGGCCAAATCCCTCTCCTGGCTGCTCCCTCCCTGCTCCGACCGCCCTGTCCCTCATCCTCGCTGTCCCCACAGATGCTGAAGAAGATGGAGCAGATGAAGAAGAAGGCGGAGGCCGTGGTGGACACGGTGGACATCTCGGAGCGGGAGAAGGTGGCCCAGCTGCGGCGGTGAGTGGCCAAGCTGGGGTGCAGCTCCTTCCCGTGGCGCTGGGCTGGTTGGTGAGGCCGTGTCCCTGCAGCCACGGTGTGGGGACGGCTCTGTGTGTCACCCAGCCAGGCTGCAGCCAGGGGTGGCAGAACAAAGAGGGGCACCCCAGCCTGGGCACTGAGCCCAGAGGGTGGGTGGGGCCTAATAATGATTTTAGGGCCAAAAACCAAACTGCTGGAGCCAAGTTGGGCCTGGCACTGGGACTTGCTCTCACCTTTCACTCTTCTCCCACAGCATCTACAAGAAGGCCGGGCTGGCCAAGGAGAAGCGACAGGTCACCTACCTGGTGGCTAAGAAGGGTGTAGGACCCCGTGTGCGCCGCCCCCGCGGCGTCAAGGGCCAGTTCAAGGTCGTCGACAGCCGCCTCAAGAAGGATGTGAGGGCTCAGAAACGCAAAGAGCAGAAGAAAAAGCGCCACAAGTGATGTGGGACCGACTCCGTCCCCGGCGAGGGACTCGGCTCAGGGCACGGGGCAGGGCTGGCTCCCGTCCTCCATCGCTGTCCCCTGCCCTGGGGACAGGACTGGCACTCGACCACGCACTGCTGTTAGTCTCTTAGCCCGTGCCTTGATGTGACAGTGCCTCCTGCCCTCCCCTAGGGCACGGAGGGTTTAATTGGCCTCAGCTCTGCTGCATGGCCACATCTCCAGTCTCACCTGCTGGCTCTGCTGAGATTCACCCTGTGGAGATCACGGGAGCATCCACGCCAGCCCTGGCTGTCCCCAGACGGATTGTGGCTCTGGGGGATATCCCTGGGCCATATTTGTCACCGAGGTGGCAGGACAGTGGATGCAGAGCCCTGAGGCAGGGGCGGTTGGTCTGCACAGAGAAGCTGCTTGGTGACAGCAGAATTAATCCCTGGTCTGAGGCTGCCCCAGGCTGTGTCCTGCACTGGGGGGAGGGGAGGGGCCTGTGCTGGCACTGCCATGTCCCTCCGTGTGCCATGGGACAGGCAGAGAGAGGACTGGTGGGTGGGCTTTGTGTTTTTGCTCATGGCCTTGAGAGCCCATTGCCCTCAGCCCACCTCCCTGTATGTCTGATAGAGAACTGAATAGCAATGACTCTCCTGACCTTCACCCTCCTGCCCCAACCCACACAGGCACAGCAGCCACCCTGTCCCCTCTGTCTTCACACTCTTGGGATGGCAGCCTCAAGCTGAGGAGAAGAAAGACCAAGAGAAAAGAAGTGCTGGAGTAAATGTCTTTATTTAGACCCAGGGCAGGAGCTGGGGGACAGCAGCTGCTCTCCTTCAACAGCCACCTGACTCACTTGTGCTGGGATTGCAGAGGTGTCCCCAGGTGCCTCATGGGGACAGTGACACTGTGTTAGAACTGGGGAGGGGGCTGAGGTACCACTGTGGCACCTGGACAGGGTGAGTGGAGATGGGGGAATGCCATGGAAGTTCTGGCAGGAAGGAGAAGCTCTGGGTCCCAAGGCCAGACTCGGTGCCCCAGAGCCCCCTCAGGGGGAGATGCACCGGGGTGTCCCTGTAAAGCCACTGCTTGGCTGCTCAGCTGAAGTCAGAGCTGTGGAGGAGCTCGAGGAGCAGCAAGAGATGTGTTTGCCCATGGGCTGGGGATCCCTCAGATCCTGGGGGTGGGAGCTGTGGCTGGACCCAGAGGGGCCGTGCTGGGTGCTGGCAGCATCTTTGGGCCATGTCCTGCCCCATGCAGGGTGGGGCTGTGGCCAGGGTGGGAGCAGCGACCACCAGCCATCCCGGTCCTCAGGAGCTGGGGTGAGAGAGGGATGGGCTGCCAGGCTCCAGGCTGTGCTAGAAGTTTTCCTGCTCCTCATCTAAATGGAAAAGGGGGGTGCTGTTAGAGAAGAGCCCCTCTGGCCCCTGTCCCATTCCTCTGTGACCCCAAACCCACGGGTAGGCAGCTCCCCCAAAAACTCTGGCCAGCAAGTCCAAGTGCAAGGCCAGGATGGGACTTCAGAGTTGGTTGGGTCCCCATCAGGGTCCTGCTGGTGGGGTGACCCCCCGTGCCCTGCCAGGCTCAGCCCCTACCTGAGCTGAAAGGTGCGCTGTAGGAAACATCCACGCGGTCACCTGCAAGGGGAAGGATGGTGACCAGGGGGCTCGGGGTGAGCTGCTGCTGTTAACGAGCCACCTTGGCTCATCAGTGTAAGCTGGAAGCCCAGCCAGACTCCCACTGAGCCACTGGGGCTGCAGGGGGGTGGCAGTGGGGCCAGGGGACACATCTCTGTCAGGGCTCACCTGTCTCGTAGTAGTCGTACAGTGTCACAGTGGCTGGCTGGAGGTTCTTCACTGGGAAGTCCTGCTTGGCTCTGAAGGAGAAGGTCTCCTCGTCTTTAGTCAGCTGTGGAGATGGACACATCCCAGGGGTTAGGTGCAGCCACCCATGATGGGGAAGCATGGGAGTCCTTCTCCTGTCCCCGTCTCACCTGGTCCAGGTAAATCGTCACCTGGTCAGGCTCCACCTCCACCTTCTTCACCAGGTTCTGCCTCTTCAGCTGGAAGGACACGGCTCAGGATGGGTGACAGCTACTCCGTGGGTGCCCCAGCCAAGGCCAGCACCCTGAGCAGGTGTCTCTCTGTTACAGGGTATCCCAGAGAGGGTCAGGGGGGCAGTGGAGGCTCCTCACCTCCACCACGGAGCTCTTGTCAGGGCTGTAGCCAGACGGCAGCTTGGCCTCGATGACAACCATGTTGGTGGCAGGACGTGTCCCGGTGTACCTGCAAGGGCAGAGCCCCGGGCTGGGGTTGGGGTCCGCCCTCTCCCCTTGGCTGCTCCCGTCCCCCCCAAAGCCGGGGGGCACCCCCAGCCCTTACCGCGCCCGCAGGTGGAGGACAAAGCTCTTGCCGGGGTTCTGCGCAGCGAGCTGGGGCAGGGGCTCCGTCACCACGCGGAGCTCGAACGCCCCCGGGCTCGGAGGGGGGGGCACGTTATAGCGCAGGGTCACCTGTGGGGACAGCGGGGGGTGAGGGCCAGCCCGGGGACACTGCAGGGGGACGGCACCTCGGGCTGTACCCACCTGCACCAGGGCGCAGCCCTCCCCGCGGGCTCGCAGCCCGTAGGACCCCGGCAGCTCCGCCAGGGCCGCTCGCTGCAGCACCAGCCGGTTGCTGCGCTCCAGCACGAAGTCCCACACCGTGCCCGCCGGGGATGTCACCGCCACCGCCAGCCGGGAGTCCCCGCTGCTGCTGCCGAATGTCAGGGCGGCGTATTTGGCCAGGGCTTGCAGGGCCACCACGGTGTCCTGTGCGGGGAGACGGCGCCGGGTCGGGGTCGCAGAGCCCCGGCGAGGGGATGTTTCGGGGCACAGGACCCCAGTGGCGGTACCTGCGTGGAGGCGAAGCCCCCGTAGGGGTTCTGCTGCTTGCAGAGCCAGCGGACGATCTGGGACGCGGTGGCCAGGTCGGCGGAGGACACGCGGGGCTGGCTCAGGTGGGCCAGCAGGGCATAGGCCGTCATCTCCACCTCGGCCGGCGCCGCCGCGGCCCAGGAGGGCTCCGAGGTGGGCACGGCCTGGCCCTTCCTCTGCCAGTAGAGCTGCCCCTCTGGGGGAGAAGGAGTGGGAGCTCAGCCCCTGCTGCGGGCTGGGCTGGGTGACCCGGGTGGCACAGCCCGCAGGTGACCCTGTACCTGTGCTGACGCTGTGCTGGGCCAGCTGCTGCAGCTGCGCTCGCTGCTGCTCCCTCAGCCCCGCCAGCCCGAAGACGTAGGCGAGCAGGGCCTGGGTGTAGGGGTCATCTGTGGCCGAAGCCTTCAGGCACTCCAGAGCTGAGCTCACCATTGGCTCCTGGCACGGGAACAGAGTCAGGAGCAGGTGTCAGAGACTGAAACAGTTAATTTACGCATTACAGGATCCACGGGAAGAGGCAGCTGTTAGCCCATCAAAGCCCATCCCCCTGCCAATCCTGAAAGGCGGGAAAAACCCTTTTCCTGTGCCCCTCACAGGAACTCTGGGCAGTCCCAGGAGGCATTGGAGGCTCATGGCATGGCCCGTGACACTCCCCATAGATATAACTCATAACTTCTTTGAGTGTGTGGGCTTTGCTCCCCCACCTCCAACTGATCAAAGCCACCACTTCAACTGACAGACATGGAAGCTGCAACTACCAAGTGTCATTGCTGGACCCCATGGGCAGTGACTATATACATTTTTCCACTCTCATCTTTCTTTTCCCTCCCTTTCCCTTATCCTGTCTTTCCCTTTTTCTCCCTTATGCATTTTCCCTAAAGGTTATCTTTAGGCCATACTGCTATAGATGAGAGATATAGATGATGACACCCAAAATGGCATCATCCCTGTTTACCTTTGAAACAAAACTGTTCTAAAATAAACCCCACATATATATGTTCTCAAACACTGATTATTCAGTGTTGTTTCACTCTGATCTACCACAAGGGATTTATTAATAAGAACCTGGGTTACCCCCTGCCCTTTTTACAGTGTCATAACACGTGCCCAAGGGCATGGGAGTCACTCAGAGGCCTCGGTTCTGCCCAGTGAGACCAGCTGTGCCCATGTTGGGTTGGGAGGTGGCCTGGAACCGCTGGTTCCCCTGCCCCCAGCACGCCCACCCCAACACCACCAGCCCCTCCAGGGACATTGGGGTCACCCTCACCAGCGGTGGCAGCCCCAGCTCCAGCATCGCAGCCGTCACATAAGCCGACAGCGAGAGCTCATCCGAGACCCCCCCCTGCAAAGGGACAGAGGGACACAGGTCTGGCACAGGGACTCCAGGGCTCTGGCCCTCTGTGCCCACGTCCCACCCCAGCCCTCTGCCCCACCTTCAGTGCATTGTTGAAGAGCTTGCCCACGCTCTGGAAGCAGCCCGTGGGCCGCTGCTGCCGCTGCAGCCACTTCAGCGCGTCCGTGATGTGCCGCTCCTCGATGGCCACGTAGGCTCGGGCTTGTCCAAAGGACTTGAGCACAAAGGCCGTCAGCCTGTGAGCCAGAGAGACATCAGAGGGGTGGAGAATCAGCGCCCTGGGGGCAGCAGGAGCCCTGGGACGCCAGTTGTGGGGTCCCTCACCAGGTGTTGCCCGTGCCATCGCTCTTCCCGAAGGCGCTGTACGAGCCGTCGTCGTGTTTGTACTGCAGCTCCCGCTGGTACCCTGTGGGCAGGAGGTGGGGAAAGGTCTTTTCACACGGTGGTCCTTCCATCCCAGGGTGTGCTGCAGCCCCAGGTGGAAATGTGGAGGGGGATGTGGGACGGGAGGGGACTCACCGCGCTGCAGGAAGCCCTGAGCCTTGGCGCGGACGTCGGGGAGCAGCTGCCCGCTCTTCTCCAGGTACTGCTGGATGTAGATGTTGGGGGCGAAGCGAACCATGTTCTGCTCCCCACAGCCGTAGGGCATGGCCAGGAGGCTGTCCAGGTTCTGCATGGCATTGCCCATGATGTCACCTGTCCCGGGGGGACATGGGGAGCACCGTCATCAGCTGTGCCCCACTGCCACCAGCACCCCACACCCCATATCCCCTTCCACACAGAGGCCACACAGAATGTTCAGAGTTGGAAGGGGCCCAAAAGGATCATTGAGCCCAACTTTTAAGCCCATACAGGGATTGAACACACAATTTTGGTGTAATAATTAACATGCTCTAACCAGCTGAGGTCATCTCAGATTTCCATCTCTTGCTGAGCTTGGGCCTTGGAGCTCTGCACCCCTCCTTCCCACAGCAGTCCCCAGGCCCCCACAGCCTGTCCCTTACCCAGCACAGTGACATGGGCTCGCTGGGAGCCCTCCAGGATGTTTGCAGGAAGCTCTAGGGAGACTTCTTCAGAATCTGTGGAGAGAGAGGGCCAGGACAGTGGGGATGGAGGGCCAGGACAATGGGGATTCCCTGCTCATCCCATCCCTCCCCATGGCACCCTAACCCACCCTCTTCTTTCTCTGACCCTCCTCAGGCTCAAGACTGGGTTGCAGCATCTCAGCCAGGAGCCTCCAGGGACCCCAGTCCGTGGCTCCTCTGGTGGCCTTTGTGACCAGTGACAAAGCACCCCTGTCCCACATCCCACAGCACTGCCAGATACCCCTGGCCAGTCCTACCTTCGTGGCAGAGCAGGGAGTTGTGTGCCTTCTCCACCAGGATCCCCCCGGGCTGTTGGGAAGTATCAGTCAGTCAGGAGAAGGGACCAGCCGTGTCCCCCTGTCCCAAAAGGTCACACCTGCAGCCCGGGTTCGTGTCTGGGTGTGCTCCCAATGCCCCCCAAGGGCTGCTTGGACCCTGTCCCCAAACCCATCCCACTTCCCTCCTCCATAACCCCTCTGACCTTCACCAGCAAGGACTTTATCACGGTGTCCATGTGCCCCTGCGCCGGCACCACAGGCAGCTCGTTGCCACAGAGCTCCGTGGAGCTGAGGGCCTCGGTGCTGACGGTGATGTTCACCCTCCCTGCAGATGCAAGCGGGGCACTCAGTCCCCGTGGAGCCCCCCCAGGCCTGACCACAGCCCCCTGGGGCTTTGTGTGGGGCTGGCTGCACTGGGGTTGGGGGTCACCACATGGAGGAGCAGTGCCGGGAGGTAACGGGGAGGGTGAAAGCAGAGCGAGGGAGAGATTCCCAGGTGCCACAGCATTTATTCCTGCCCTCCCCGACCTCCCCACTCCCTGAGGGGCTCCCCAGGCAGCGGGGGTGGGGGGATGCTGGTGCTCTGTACCCAGGCTGGTGGCCTTCACGCCCCAGCGGAAGGTCCTCACTTCGTCGGCACAGACACAGCCCCCGTACGTTTCCTCTGCGCCCGCCGACACCTCCAGCCCTGCCGACTCCGCCAGCGACACCTGGACCTGTCAGAGCACGGCCACGGCTCCATAAGCCCCCAAAGCCAGCCCCCAGAGAGGCAGGGCTCCCTCCTCTGCCACGCTCACCCTCAGGCACTGCCGCAGGTAGTTGAAGACGGTGGCCACCAGGGTGAAGGCTTCATGGCGCACCACGGCGTAGGGCAGCACCAGCTCCACGAAGAACGGCTTGAAGGCCGTCAGGGTGATGGCAGGGGACAGCCCCAGCCCCTGTGGGGACATGCAGAACATGCCAGCTTTCCACTCGGTGATGGCATCGGGCACTGTCACCGTCATCTCGGCGGAGCCACCCTCCCTGTGGGATGGAGAGCATCGTGAGGCCACCCCACCACGGCCACCCCCAGCTCTCCCTGCGGGAGAAGGAGCTGTCCTGAGGTGCCCAACTTCCTTCCATGAAGGAGGGGAGGTGGGGAGAGGACCAGCCCCTTGGGAACTGTGCTCGCTCACCCCACAGGGACCAGGTCCCACAGCCACGTCTCTGGGAAATACGTGCGGGGTGCTGGTGGCTTCTCCTGGTTGTCAGTGTTTGGGCTGGGCCTGCTCGCAGCTACTGGGATGTCCTCTAGGTTTCTCTCAGGGAGTTCAGCTGGAAAAGGGAGAGCAGAACTTAGTGGCCACAGGTCTCTGTGTCTCAGCTGGACCCCCATGCCCAGCATGAGGGTGACCCAAATCCTCTCCGATCCTCTTCAATCCCTCCGATGCTGAGTGTATTCTTGGGGTGGCTCCAAGTCCCCCAGAGGACACGGGAGCCAGGACTGGCCACCAGCTCCTTTCTCCTGACAGGGCTCAGCAGACTGAGCCTGGGGCTGTGCTGACCTCTGAGCATTATGAGATTCGGCGTCCCAAGCAGGATGGGGCTTTGTGGACAATCCTTCCTGATCTTGGCATTGGTGAAGAGCTTCAGTGCTGCGTCCTGTGAGAAACAAAAGAGGTTGTCCATCTCCACAGCCAGCAGGAGGAATATCCCCATTCCAGCAGGGAGTACTCACAGGGCTGCAGAAAACAATTGGAGAAGGAGCCTGGGATTGGCAGGGAAGGGAAAGTGCTTTGCCACAGGTGTGGTTTTCACGGGACATTTCTGGGCTTTCCCAGCACGTGAGCAAACCCCATCAGCCTCCTGGATGGAGAGGAACCAGGAGGCACAGCGGGGCAGGGACTTATACCTGAAATAACTTGGAGGTCTCCATACGGAAGGAAAGGACGTCAAAAAACATACAGGGTGATGGTTCCCAAATGCGAAGGGGTTTGAACTGGGGCAGCGCTTCGTAGATCTGTGAATAAACACGTGTGCCAGACCAGCCATGCATCCACTCCCTGCGCAGCAGCAGGACTCCTGGGCAGTCTGGGAGGTCTAAACTGCTGTCACCCCACCCACCACAATCCCTGGCTGGTCCCTGGGGCTGCAGAAGGACGGGGGGCAGTGCCACCACTCACCACCTCTGCGGTGAGCTCAGCCTCGGGCTTCAGGAGCAGCACGCTGCGGTCCACGGCACGGATGGCACACAGGGACCCCGGGGCGGCCCCCAGTGCCAGCTGCAGCGCCGTGCCAGGCAGAGCCCTGTCCTCCGAAAATGCCATCTTCACCTGGGCAGGGACAGCGTGTCAGGGGGAGAGGGAAGAGGGGACCCACCCCCCCGTGGAGGAGCAGGACCAACCACAGACAGGGAGGTGTCTTCCAGACAAAGATCAGGATCGAGGGTTTGGGTTTAGATACACCTGGAGCAGGGGGGACCCCAGGGCATGAACAAGCCATGGAGTGATCACCCACCTCCAGCAGCCATCGCTCACCTTGCTGGGGAGGCACTTGGCCATCTCGAGCTCGATGCTGTCGGCCACCATCTCGCCGTTGGGCAGCACCACGTAGCACAGTGCCTTGCCCTCGGGTGCCAGCTCCACACCGATGGGCAGCTCCAGGGAGAAGGAGCCTCTGAGCCCTGGGCCAGGGAAAAGGAGGGGAGATGTTACCCGAAGAGATTGTGGCTGCCCCATCGCTGGAAGTGTTCCAGGACAGGTTGGACGGGGTTCAGAGCAACCTGGGCTAGTGGAAGGTGTCCCTGCCCATGGCAGGGGGTGGCACTGGATTAGCTTTAAGGTCCCTTCCAACCCAAACCATTCCATGATTCTATGAGGACCAGGCACAGAGAGCAGAGCCCTGCACAGCCTGGTCGTGCCAGAGGACATACCAGCCTCTGCAGACAGCTCTTTCCTGAGGACTGTGGCAATGGTCCCCTTGGCCAGGACCTGCAGAGGAGGAGGTGAGAACAACAAAACCAATGCTGAGTGTGGAACCAAAACGCCCTGACGGAGGGGGGACCCAGGAGCGAGAGTTTTGGGATTACTTTTGACTTCTCCCAGTCTCCACCTCCCCCCCCAGCACCTCCCATGGGTGTGCAGGTCCAACAGGGCCAGAGGAGACCTGTGCTAACAAAGGTCCCTCAGTCTACCCAGGACAGATTGCTCAATGTCCTGTCCCCAGGGACACAGCCATGAACGTGTGCGTAGATGTGACCCTTCACACACACCACAGCCCTGGTTCCCGCTGCCCCTCCTCCCCGGGCCAGGGCTCACCAAGACAACCGCATCCAGGCTCTTCAGCTCAGCCCCTAAGGCCTCCTTGCTGAAGATGAAGTCTGCCCAGAGCTGCTGGGGCTTCCAGCAGGGCAGGTCGCTCTCCAGCTGGCGGATCTCCAGGAAGCTCCCGCTCTCCGAGAAGAAGGGCTTGAGTCTCAGAGTGGCACCAGTGTAGGAGATTGTTGAGTCACTCTTCTGGTTGTGAGGTGTCCTGTCGACCTGGCCCTGAGGGTTGGAGGTGGGAATGAGGGAGGTGAAGCCGTCCAGCCGCCCAGGAGGTATCAGCGATGCAGGCTCGGAGGGGTGCCCAGCCCCTCCCTGCTGCAGAAAGCACCACAGGCACCCCAAGGGGTGGGAGAGGGGTCACTTACCTTCAGGAAGACATGGCCACTCCAGCCAGAGGTGTTCAGTTTGAAGGAGGCTCTCCCTGACCCGTCTGTCGGGATGGTGTGTATCTGGTCATCTTTTCCCTTGATGTTGACAGAGAGCACGAGCCGCCCCTGCGGCACCCCGGTGCCATCAGCTCCCTTCAGCAGCATCTGTGCCGGGAGGGAAGGGGGGATGGCCCTGGTTGGGCTGTGGCCGTGGGGCAGGTGGGAGAACAGGGCTGGGGGGCCGGCAGGAGCGGGGCTGGGGGCAGCAGGGTGCGTGTGAGCCCCGCGGGGAGTGGGGACCACCCCGTTACCGTCCCGCTGTAGGGGATGCCGGGCTTGTAGACTTCACTGGGGTCTTCAAACGTGACGGTGAAGCTCTCAGGTGAAATCTCACAGCTCTTGGTGTTTTTCATCTCCAGCCCTGTGGGGAGGGAAGGGGGAGCTGAGGGTGTGGCAGGGACACAGGGCATGGATTAGCTCCTGACAGTCATTTGTGGTGTGACAAGGCAGTGAACGAGGGATGAGCTAAGAGGACAAAGCCACACTGGCTGAACCCACCACCCTGCACTGCAAGGACTCATTGCCTGCCTTGGGAGAGCTGGTGGACCTTGAAAAGGCGTTTTTCCCCCTGACCTCTCCTCTGGTTGGAATTACAGGTCTTGCCAGGTTGACCTGGCTCTCATCCCCACCCAAACCTCATCCCTGCACAAGGGCACCCCTAAATCACAGCGGATCTTTTGGGTGCCCCTGCAGAAGGCCAATGCCACCACGCCACGGGCACTTGGGAGCCCATGGGGATGGAAACACCACCATCCCTACCCGTCCCATCCTCCACCAGCGATGCCTGGACTTCAAGCTGCTTCTTGTTCTTCAAGTGGGTCATGTTGATGACAGACAACAAAACCTCTGTGGAAAAGCAGCCGTTCTTCTCAGTCTGGAGGGAGAGTCAACCCCATCAGCAGCATTCCCGGGAGGGAGGTGTCCCAGTGGCACCCACACTCCTGGCCACGCTCACCTGCCCACTAATGTTGGTGCATCTCATCTCTCTAAAGAGGTGAAGCCAGGGCTGGTCGCTGTAGCACAAGCTGGCCTGGACCTTGCCCTGGACGGGCTTCCCGTAGGTGTACCTGTAGGGTGGAGAGTGGCCAGGCTTTCCCTGGTGGACCACACGGCGTCAGATCCCCCCCATCCCCTCCCTCTTCCCAGCTCACCGTCCGCAAATCTCCATCTGGAACTTCTGGTCCTTCTCCAGTACCACGCTGGGGAGATCGATGGTCACTTCAAACTTGGGCAGCACTGACGGGGAGGCAAAAGGAGAGAGGATTGTCACTCCCAGGACAATGACAACGGTGCCTGGGTGGCCGGGGAGGGGTGGCCAAGACACGCTGCCAGTGAGCCAAGGTGGTGCCCCCGTCCCCCAGGCCCCACGTACCATATTCTTCCACGCTGAAAGAGTGGGTCTTCCTCCCCACGTGGATGGTGTAGGTGCCCAGGGCTGGCTCAGCAGCCAGGGGGAGGGACAAGTCCACGATTCCCTGCCGAGGGCTCAGGTCCCGCCACTGCGCGATGCGATTCCCGCTGGGATCCTGCCACGGGGAGGCACGGGCTCAGCACCCCGGGGAGCCCAGCACTCCACAGTCCAACAGCCCATGGCTGTGCTGTGGGGCTGCCCTCCCAATCCACACCTCCCAGGAGCCTCCCTCTGTCTCCCAGGACTGACCTCCAGGAACACCAGGGGCAGCTGAAAGGCAAAGAGAGGATGGTTAGAGGAGAAATCCAAAGCTTTCCTTGGGGTCTCCCCAGGGTGGGAACAGCAATGGAGCCATGCATGGAGTAGAGGGAGGGTTATTTGTGGGATGTTGTGAACTTCCCACCCTTCAATATGCCTTGGGATGGATTTTGAGCCTGTGGGCACTTCTGTCTGGGATGAGCTGAGGGCACTGCCAGCATGGCATGGAGAGGTGACATCTCCTAGTGCATGAGCAAGAGTCCAGCATCCACTTAATCTCTTAACCTCCTGCACTTCCAGAGACCCCAGTGATTGCTCAGAGGTGCCAGAAACTGAGCCTGCCTGTAATCCTGGTGTCTGATGGATATCAGTAGCACATTCCCTGCTTCCCACTCGCCATCCCTACATCCTTATCTGAAAGTTTGCATGGGTGCATTCCAGTGCCACACGTGCAATCCTGCTTTCTCTTTCCTTATCCTGCTGAAGCCTGAACAGCACAGGGCATCTCTGCCCCCAGGGAGTGCAGGAACCTGGGCAGAGCAGGCTGGGGCAGGATTCCCGAGGGGAAAGGTGCTGGTTGCCTCCCACACCTCTCCCACGGCTGGCTGGGACTGTAGGAGGGCAGAGCAAAAGAGCCCTGTCACCTCCTCCCATCCCAACCCCGCTCTCACCTGCTGATTGCTGGGAATCAAGTCTTTATCCAAAGAGACAACTCGAAACTTCACTGGAAAAGGGAAACGGAGACAGAGTGAGTTCATCCTCAGGGAGGAGAGTTCCCTGTGGGGAAGGTGGATGGAAATCCCCCCCCCACCAGCAGAGCTCTGCAGTGCCCCCCAAGCAGCACTGCCAGGGTGTCCTGGCATTGCCCTCTGTCAGTGCTGGGCATTCCAGTGCATCCCAGGATCAGCCCTCCTATTCCCAAGCAGTGTAGGAGCAAGGCTGGGCCTCCTGCAGCCCCCTCCCAGCAGGTCCTTCAGCCCAGAGCAGGGTGGTCCATCCTGCCCCCCCACACACACACCTTGCTGTCCAGGCTTGTAGATAGGTTTGTCTGTCTGTATGAAGATCCCAGGGCCCAGGGTTTTCAGCTTCACCTCCTTCTTCTCAGACACATTCAGGGAATCTCCTTGGATTGAGATGTGCAGGTCTAGATCTTCTTCCTTCCCACTGATGGGAGCTGGAGCCTGCAGGGGGAAACATCAGGTTGCAGGTGAGGATGGATGAGCCATGGCCAGGGTGCTCTGCTCACTCTGAGTGACCCTGAGTGACTCCTCACCCAAGGGACACCTTCCCTGAGGTGAAATGGCCCCCCCAACACCCTGCTCTGGTCTGCAGGTCTGCTATTTTAACCACTGGATAACTGGGCTGAGCCTGGAGTAGTTCTGTCTGCGTGAGGGATGAGACTCTGCCAAAAGCTGGGCAAGTCACATCTGCTCCCAGCCCCGTGTGGGATCACAGCCCCAGCTCAGGGGAGCTGGTGGAAACTGCTCTGCCTGGAGGCAACGAGGAGCCCGGGATGGCCCTGCCCTGCTTGGGGCTGTTTTGGGGTGACACTCACAGGGAAGGTGAAGTTCAGGTGCATCTGAGGCTGCTGGACCTCCCTCTTCAGCAGGGTGATGGGGTGGGTTCTATGCGCTCCCAGCAGCTCGATGGTCACCTGGAGGGGCTCGCTGAGGTCGCTGAGATGGACCCAGAGCGTGGAGGAGTAGGGGTGGTACATCACAGCTGGGGCCGTCACCACGTACCTCCTGGCAGGGAGAAAGTGGCGACAAGAGGGGTGTGGGGGTGGAGACACAACCCAGCACAGACCCCACGGAGACAGGAGCCTGTGCTGGGGTGCAGCACCACCTCCCCCAGCCTCCCCACTCTGCTTCTGGGTCCCCCTTGACTTCCCAGCCCCAAGCAAAGGGCACCTGCAACAACCACCCCAGGCCCACCAGCCCCCAGTGCCACGTCCTCGACGCTCATGGGCAGGGGACAACCCATCAGCCTGAGCGTTCCCACGCCGGCCAAGGATCCCCACCAGGAATTCCCGAGGAGCTGAGGCTAAAGCCATCCCAGCAGGCACAGACAGACAGACAGACAGACACACAGGGGGGCTTACATTTCTGCAGATACCCCAGCTGTGAGGTGCAGGATGAGGAAGAGGACGGGCAGGGCTGGAGACCTCATGTCTCCAGCTAGAAGTGGATGTCTGGGACGGCCACAGCCGCCTCCTGCAGGTCTTGGATCGCTCTGGATCTGCGCCTGCCCCTCTGCAGGCTCTGAAGTGGGAGCTTTGCTTCCCATCCAGTGAGAAAACAAGGACTGGCCGAGGGATCCACAGGCACCGGCAGATATTGGTCAGGCAGTGTTTACCCACAGCTTCCTGGGTTCAAGGCCCTGAGGGATTTCTGCACTATTGGGAAAGGGTCCTATAACCTGCAGAGGTTCAAACCCCGGGGGGCAGGACTCACCTGCACACTGCTCTGCTGGGAAATGATGCCAGGGTGGAGTGGGAACAAATGGAACAAAAGTGGGCAGCACATCCTGATGACGTTGGGTGAGTTTGTGGTGATTTCTCAGAAAGGGCAAATTTGCAGGTATTTCAAACTTAACCAAACAGCAGCTATTTGGGCTGATCACACACCTGAGGCTGGTTTCCTCTGGTTTCATAAAGTCTGGGCAGAGGAACGGGACAGTGCTGGGTTGTGGTGCTAACTCTGACTGCTCTCGTTCCTCTTTGCACCGCTCTTGGGAGCTGGACACCAACCAGGGCAGGGGCTGAGCTGCCTCCTTCTGTCCTGCTGGGAATTCCAGCTCCACAACAGCCACATGGTGTCCTGAGCACATCCCCTGCTCTGCAGGGTTTCCTCCCTGCTTTGCAATTCCCTTCCTTCTGGGGATGTGGGCAGAGGCAGAGCTGTGGGAATCATGGAATGGTTTGGGTTGGAAAAGAAATTAAAGCTGATCTTATTCCACCCCCTGCCTTGGGCAGGGACACCTTCCATGAGACCAGGTTGCTCCAAGCCTTGTCCAGCATGGTCTTGGGCACTTCCAAGGATGGGGCAGCCACAGCTTCTCTGGACAAAACGTGCCATCAGCTTCCCAGGAAGCCATGGATGGGGCTGACCTCTTTCCATGGGATCTGAGATGACCACAACTGCTGTCCCCACGCCTGCCCTGCTCAGGTATGGCTGGACACAGCCCTGTGCTCCCCTCCCTGCCCTCTGGAGCAGCCCCACACAGTGTTGGTGTCCAGAGGAGGCTGGACCTGCCACCCCCAAGGACACAAACTGGGAGCATGGCCCCAAGCCCATCCACTCCCCGGGATGTGGCCGTGGGTCAGTGCCCTGACAGGCAACCTGGGGGTGGTTCCACGTGACAAGGAGCTCGTGGCTCCCCCAGCACTGCCAAGGCCACCACTGACCCAAGAGCCACATCCACACGACTTCTAAATCCCTCCAGGGGTGAGGACTCCACCACTGCCTTTGGCAGCTGTGCCAGGGCTGGAGCACCAAAGCAGCAGGGCAGGGTTGCTGCAGACCCCGTGTTTGGAGGGCCAGGGGAAGGAAGGAGCTCCCAGAGTCCCTCTGCCTGAAGTTTCTTTCTCTCCCCAAGCTTTCACTTTCCACTGACAGTGGAAAAGCCAGCAAGGTCTCTGCCTGGGACCTGGCTGTCCAGGTTGGACAATGCTTTGCCCAGAGAAGCTGTGGCTGCCCCTGGATCCCTGGAAGTGCCCAAGGCCAGGTTGGATGGGGCTTGGAGCAACCTGGGCTATTGGAATGTGTCCCTGCCCGTGGCAGGGGGTGGCACTGGCTGGGCTTTAAGGTCCCTTCCAACCCCAACCATTCTGTGTTCCTATTAATGCCTAACCCTCTAAACCCAAACTTTGCTGGGTTCAAGATTCTGGGCAGCCAAACCACACCCAAGGTGGTGGGACTAACAAGTCAGTTCAGACCTAACAGACTAAGCTGGACACTGGGAACCCTGGCAGGCAGGCAGGAAGGGATTACAGGGGTTTTCTGGGACATGAGATGCTTCATGTGCACACTGCCCTTGACCATCTCCGTGTGACAGTTGCTAGTCTGGTGAGTTGTTCCTGGTGGGAAGCCTCTTTCCTGTTGCTGATGTTGTGGTATCTGTCTGGGCAGAGGATTGCCACAGATTTGCAGGATTTCCTCCATAACGAGCCAGCTGCTCCCGAGAGCAGGAATGATGTCAGTCCACAGTGCTGTGTCCTTGCTTGCCCGTGGCTTGCAGGTTTTAGCTGAAGATGGGAGGTGAAGCCTTGCCCACCCTGCTCCCAGCATGGGGGACAGTCCCCCTCCCCCTTCCCCCTGCAGCTGTCCCTGCCCTGCTGCAGCCCTGGGGTGGTGGGACAGGAGCTGCCCAGCTGGGAAGGAGCCAAAAGATACCCAAATCCCTGCCTGACTGCGAGGAACCAGCCAGGGGAGTTGGCAGCTGGTGGATGGGTCTGGCAATGCCAGGGTCTGGAAGTCTCCTGATCCAGGTGGGCACAATCCAGGATCCTCTGAGTGTTTGGGCTTTTAATAGATGCTCTTCCTGTGCACTTACCAAGGCAGGGAGAGCTCCACCTCAGGGTCAGATCTAGTCCACCTAAGTTATCCACACCCCATGGATAAGCTGTGGTGTCCCCAGGGAATGCTCCATGTGCAGGGGTACAGGCCCCCAGCACCCTAAGGAGAAGGATCCCCCCTCCCCACGCTCCCCTCAGCCCCTCAGACACAGGCAGGACCACGAGCATGCACAGCACCAGCTACAGACTGTTTAATCTTGCACCCTTGGCTCACAATTCAGCCTCGAGGATGCTCTTCCCACGTCATCCCCTGGACCTCGTGTCCCCCCCCCAGGCCACATGCTGCACTCTGGACTCCTCCCCAGAGCTGGCTGTATCCCAACAGCATTTTAGGAGCCTCTGGAAGAAGAACCCAGCACGCCCTTGGGGGAAGTCAGGGGTGGAAAATGGCACTGTGAGCCCCCAGCCCTGCCTGGAGCGTCCCCCCCTGCCCAACATGCAGGCAGGAGCCACCCAGGGGGACTGACACAGCTCCAGGTTTGGGGGGCACAGGGGATGCACAGCCACAACGAGGGGGTTTCGGGGGGGGGGCACCTTGCTCTGTTTTTGGGGAGCTGCCTCGTCCCTGTCCTGCATTGCTCTGCTCCCCTCGCACCGGGGCACCGTCCTGCCGGGGCGGTGGCAGGGCTGGTGGACACTCCTCAGGGGACAAGGGGACAGCATGGCCCAGCCTGTGGCTGTGCCACCTCCCTTGTGTCCCCGAGGCACTCGCTCCCTCTGCCTAATGAGTGGTCCCAGGTGAGTCCTGCTGGCACTGGGGGCTGCCCCTGCCCCTGTCCCCGGGGGATTTCAGGGACATCTCCGCGAGGGCATCGGCCATGGCCCCACGGACAGCCTCGCTCAGCTCGGGGACATCCTCTGGGCTCAGGCCCTGCGTTTCCACCTTGGGCAGCACTCGGATGGTGCACGTGCCTGGGAGGGAAGGGAAAGGCCAGGAATGCTGTTAAAGGAATGGCCAGGAACCACCCTCCCCATCAGCTGCCTCCCCCCACCTCAGTGTCCCACACACAGAGGCCCCCACGCGCCTTCTGGCATGGGGATTCTTGTCCATCACTTACCAGAGGTGAACCTCTTCTCCTTGGAGCTGAAGAAGTCCCAGTATGGGGAGATGACAATGGGGATGATGGGAACCTATAGGACACGGAGGGTCAGGGGTGCCTTTCACACAGACCCCCTCCCCAGGTGGGACTCCAGCTCCTCAGCAGGTCCCTGTCCCGCCCTGGGTCCTGCACAGCACAGAGCCTGTCCCAGGGGACCAAAAAGACCTCCATCCCCCTGTCCCAGGGTGCTCCCCCACCCTGCTCCACCCAGGGTGAGCAGAAGGGACGGATCATGGAATCACTTGGGTTGGAAAAGACCTCCAAGACCACCGAGTCCAACCCTTGACTGAACATAAGGATGCCCTCACCTGAGCCTGCACAGCCAGGTGGAAAGCCCCACGCTTGAAGGGCAGCATGGATTTGCTCTGGTTCCTGGTGCCTTCGGGGAAAACCCACACTCGGAGCTGCACAGGACAGGGAGAGAGGTGAGAATGGACATCAGTCAGGGCACCTGGGGCCTTCTACAGCAGCCCCCCACTCACCCCCTTTAACCCCATGGGTGTTTCCCCCCCCCTGCTGCCAACCCCCCCCTCTCCTCACATTTTCTCGCCACATGGTCCTGGCTGTCTGGGAAATGACATCGATGGCAGCTTCTCTTCTGTGGCGGTCGATGAAGATGATGCCACTGAGCCAGCAGGCCCAGCCCACAGTGCCCATGTACAGCAGCTCCTTCTTGGCAATGGGCACACAGCGCTCAGGAATGACCTCCACCATGCCTGGAGGAGGGATGGGGGGAGAGCTGTTAAAATACCTTCCCAACCCCCTGATTATTTGCAGCAATAAAACCAGCTCGGAAAATTATTTCCTGCTTGGGAGTTTCAACTCCCAGGCTGGACAAAGCAGCTGAACACCAGGAACGTATTTTGCAGCGCAGCCACCTTGTCCCTGAGGGGTGATTACTGCAGAGAGGAACCCTCCAGAGGGGAGCAATTAGATCAGTGCACAGACAGATTATTTAGTCATTTACACCCTAATGTAACACCAGGCTGGATTTTTTTTTAAAAAAAACCTTAACTTAAAGGACTTTAAGTCGTGCCCAACAGCTTCCAGAACCACCCAGCCCTGTGGCATCACACTCTGTCGTCCCAGCCCTCTCTCTGCAGCACACCCCTGTCCCACCAGCTCTTCTGGCCCAGGCCCCCCACACTTCCCTTCACAAACCCTGGTGGTGACCCCACTGAAACCCCCCCCGGAGTGAGCCTGGACCTCCCCCTGCAGCACCCCAAAGGCTGCCCGTGCAGTGATGGACACACCCCTCCTCCCTGGCACGTACCCATGAGGTCAAGGGAAGCTTGGTGGTTGCAAACTATCACGTAGGGCTCCTTGAGGTCCAGGTGCTCTGTGCCCCACACCTGCATCTTGATGCCACAGAAGCGTTTGAGGGGCAGGATGGCAGCGCGCAGGAGCCTGGGGCAGAGAACACGTGTGGGGAGCAGATCTGCACAGGCCCCAGGGAGCAAAAAGGGCCAGCCTGGGCTGGGTCTGCTGCTCTGGTGGATCTGTGTTCAGTCTCAGGCGTGCTTTGCTTTTCCCAGTAAAATTTATAGCTCATAACTAACCCCCTACCCACCCCCCAAGGGGAGGTCTCGGTGTCTCGGTAGCAGAGTCTGCCCTGGAGTTGCTGAGGAAGGAGAGGGACCAGCACAAGCTGGTGGGAGAGGAAAAACAGGGGTTTCAGTGTCCAGAGATGATGGGAAAGCAAAAGAGAAGAGGAGGAGGGGAGGGAGAAAGAGGGAGAGGGAAGGGAGGGATAGGAGAGGGAGATGGGATGGGATAATCACATCCCAGTGAGGACAACTGCCTCTGGCCAGGTGAGCTTCACCTGGAGGCTCCTCCAGGAGGTGCCCAGCTGGACCTGTGTGTGGGCTGGAAACCCAGACCCCAACACTGCAGATACCCAAAGCCAGAGGAGCTGGACCACAACCAAGAGGTGCTGAGATGTCGATGGATGAGCACTGGAGAGGAACGTGCAGAGGGACAGTTTTAAACAGGTCCACAGAGATGAGGATGATTCCAAGGCAGCACTGCAGGGACCAAGATTTGTGATGCAAGTGGGGCAGGAGAGAGCAGGGAAGGGCAAACCAGACCAGATACATTCCTCAGAGGAAATCACAAATAGCTTCACCGGACCTGCAGCGCCAGGAGGAGGTGGAGGTTTCATTTGCGTGGCGTCACACAGTGATGTCACATCCAAGAGAGGGCTGGACAGGAAGGGTAAGATTGGGATGGCAGTGAAAGGTGATGCTCAGTATGAGAATAATGAGTGGAATGGAGGGAGGAGGGAGCAACAGGGATTACCGCACCACGATAGAGGTAAAAAGCTGGGCACTGTCCAACCCACAGCACGAAGAGTACCTGTGCCAGGGTCCACATATCTGGCTGTGACTGGTCCCAGGGATCCCACAGGGAACAGGGAAAGAGCTCAGCACCAGGCAGGGGGGAGAAGTCTGGGAGGAGAGAGTAGAGGCAGGCAAAGAGGGAGGCACGATGCTTAGAGGGTCCCTTGAGTCAGAAGATCCCCCCTCCCTCCCAACCCCGCAGGGTCAGAGATCCCTGTGCCTGCAGAGAAGCAGTGCCCCAAAGCCAGGACTAATGACAGGAATGCGCTCCGAGCCGGAGGCTTTGGGATTTGGAGGGGAGGGAGCTGGGCGTGCTGCTCCGGCGGAGTTTGGCTGCGAGGTGTTGGTGGGACAAGATAAGGCAGCGTGAGTCACCCCCGCCTCACTCGGGTATTTCCCCTGAGCCGGAAGCGTTGGCACCGGGGCTGGAGCAGCCCTGGATGCTGATGCTGTGTGTGTTTGTGTGTGTGTGTGTGCACAACATTCCTGCACGGAAAGGACCGGGCAGAGAGGCTGCACAACACGCTGATAAACATCAGACCTTTGACCACGCTCCTGCCGAGGGCCACAATCCATCAGCGCAGATCCGGGGATGGCTCAGGCTTCAGCGAATACCTCAAGCTCGGGTATTTTTCACTCTGACATAATTACATCCCTCCTGGTATGTTATCATGCCCAGGAATCCAGCAACGGGATTGCAACACCCTTAAAAGCAACCAGACCTTCCTCTCGTGTTGCACAGCGATGTTATCTCGGCTGCTACCACCCCTGAGCACGGTGACAGCACCGGGGCAGGACTCATCGGGGCATGGCTGTGTCACACCTGACAGCTGATGGCACCGAGACACCCCAAAACCACGGAATCATGGAATGGTTTGGGCTGGAAGGAGCCTCTAAAACCAGCCAGTGCCACCCCCTGCCACAGGCAGGGACACCTTCCACCAGCCCAGGTTGCTCCAAGCCCCGTCCAACCTGCCATTGAAAACTTCCAGGGATCCAGGGACAGCCACAGCTTCTCTGGGCAACCTGTGCCAGGGCCTCAGCATCCCTGAGGCTGCCACAGGGCAAGACCTGGCTGCAGCACCAGGGAGACAGCGCTGGGTGTGTGTTTGCACCCTGCTATCGACAATACCTTCAGTCTTTGCCAACCCCCCCCCCATCACCCACCCAGCTGATGACCCCAATGTCGCCATCAGAAATGATCCCATTTACTCCCCTTCTTGCCCCAGGGACCTCAAGTCCCGACCCAGCTGGCCACCCCCATTGTGGTCTAACCCTCCCTGGGCACGGCCAGCACCTCCTCACCACACCACAAGATGCAGATACACCTTCACTGCCACATGGATGTGACCACAGCGCCCGCCACGGCCCCAGGGCCCAACCACCAGCTGTAACACAGCTCTGGGCACGGCCAGGCCAGGAGAGAGCGTGTCCACAAAACCACAGGAGCTCCTCCACCTCAGCCAAGCCCAGCCATCTCCACACCATCTCCCCACTCCCAAGGCCCTACTCACTTCATGTTCTCCACGGAGCGTCCCCGAAGAGCCGCGAAGGGGGACAGGAGGGTGGCCATGACCACGATCCAGCAGTTGAAAAAGGCCACCTTGCAGAAGTAGTGGAAGGTGGTGTTGTACCTGTAGAGCAGCAGCCCTGCCAAGGGCAGGAGGAGCAGCAGCCCATGGAGCAGGACCCCCTCCATCGTGCTGCCCCTGGCCAGAGGGTGCTGGGGAGCTCAGCCCTCGTCCCCGAGAGGAGGGCGAGTGGCGCCGGGGATGCTGAGGAGCGTGGCAGGTGAATCAGGTGTCTCGGTGTGTGGGTGTTTGGGGCTGGTCCAGGGGAAGGTACTGAGTGTATCTCACCCTGTGCACAGGCCTGGGGACGGAGCAGCTCCGATGGGGTACCCCACCAAGGGTGGAGAGTGGAGTGAGTCAGCGCCGGGACCCTGAGTCACCCGCGGTGTCACTGCTGGGTAAGTGCCCTCCCGAGCTACTGAAAGCCATTGCAGTGACTCCACACCGAGGTGATCAGATCTGTCACCCACAAATGTGTCCGTGCTCTGGGCATCTCTCCTGTCCAACCCTGGGAAAGGAGGGTCTCAGCTGGTAAGGACAAGCAAAGAGCTGGTCCTGGTCCATGCCCATCACCCCAGCAAGGCCTGTCACAGTTACCTGCTGGCACCGTGGCTGATCCCCAAACCTCACCCTGCAGAGCATCAGGTTATTGGAAGATACCTCCCCACCTGGGACAACATCAGGCACGTGGTGCCAGTGCTTCCCACCTCTCTTCTCCCCCCAGTTTGGGAAGAAGAGCCCCCGTGCCCTTTCCCTCCCATCTGCCACCAATGGCCCAGCAATGACTTGGAGGGTTGAGCTCTGCCACCCCCCTCTCCCACCCCAGGCTGGAGGAGATGCCAGCCCTTGCCCAGAGGAGATGCCAGCCCTCGCCCCAGTTGGCAGCCAGGGGCTGCATTGCATTAGGTGTTTTCACAGGTACAATTAGCACCACAGGGCTGTAATTAGCCTCTCCTCCTGCTCTCTTGCCCTCACACTGGGCACACAGGATCCAGGCCAGCTCTGGGCTGCCCTGTGGAAACTCCAGTCTTGCTTTTAGAAATCAAGTGCTTGTCACTGCTCAGATAACTGTGGCCTGGTCTCAGCGACCAGCAGCATCTCCCAGCCTGGTGGGTCCATGGCCCAAATCACAGAAGCATAAAATCACAGAACCACAGGATGGTTTGGGTTGGAAGGGACTTTAAAAGTCATCTCATTCCACCCCCCTTGCCATGGGGAGGGACACCTTCCACTAGCCCAGGTTGCTCCAAGCCCCACCCAACCTGGCCTTGGACACTTCCAGGGATGGGGAACAGAGGAAAATTCCATGTGCTGCTGCCGAGACCCAGCGCTTTGACTCTGACCCTCAGGTTCCTCTGGTGCCTTCCCACAACAACCCCAGCATCATCTCTGGGGCAAACAGTCCCATTATACCACACTTGGAAGGGGCATCACACCCCCTGGGACAAACCCAGCAGTCCTGCCCTTCATCTGGCACAACCTGCCTCCAGCAAAACCATCCTCCATCTCTGTGTCCCCTCTGTGCCTCTTTCCACCCACACCTTCTCCCTGTCCCCACTGCTGTGGGGTGCCAGCGATGCCCACGGGCTCTGGCCATGGGATGCTCCCCGTGCTGGCAACTGGAGAGTGCCCCAGTTTGACCAGTGAGCCAGAGAGGGTTCAGGGGTTACGTCCACCGTGGGTGTTGCAATCCCCATTATTGCTTCACCCTCCTGTTCCTCTCATTATTCTCCTATTAAAGCAAAGATTGGGTTGTGTCTTGAGCCCACCCTTCCTGTCCACCCCATTCCAGGTGACTCCTCACCTCCTTCTTCCCTTTTTGCCTCTGTGTGGAAACCCCTGTGCATCAGCCTGGTCTCCCACCAAACTCCCCTTCTGCTCTGCCCAGCCAGTCCTGCCACCTCCCAGAGGGCTGCCAGCTGGGGTAGAGGGGCTTCCATGCTGCAACTCAACATGACCCTCCTGCTCCAAATCCGGGGGCTTCTCATCCACCTGCAGCAGGAGCCAGGCTGGGGAAGATCTGCCTGTCCCAGAGCACAGGGAGGATAAAGTCCCCCTTCCACCCCAGAGGAGAGGCAGGGCAATCCTTGTGCCCAGTGGGGACATCAGGGGAGGGATTTAAGGTGCAGCTGCCCTTCTGCATCCTCTGAGCTCCAGATGACCACCAGCCCTGAGGTCTCCTGCCCTGAACTCTTCTCTTGAGGATGGTGTCAGGAGCAGGGCTGTCACCACAAAGTGGGGTTGGGGAGGTAGCAGAGACAGGGAACATCTTCCAGCACCCAAAACGCATCTGTCGCCACTTCCTCCACCTTCCTGCTGAGCAGAGGGGACACTGAACCCCGGGGAACTCCATGATCTCCCTTTTTCAGGCTCCCCCACCATGAGGGAGCTGCAGGGCAGATCCAGTTATCTCTGCACTCACAAAATATTCTGAGTTGGAAGATGATCCACAAGGATCATCGAGTCCAGCTTTTAACCCTGCACGGGACATTCCCAAGAGTCACACCGGGAACATCCCACTCTGCTTCCCATCTCCAACCCTCAGTACCCCCCCCCCACCACCACTCCAGCACCCACATCAGGCACTGATTTATCCCCCCCACTGGGTACAAGAGGCTCTGCACCCCCCTCACCCTCCAGCCCCGAGGGAGCCCTGCATTCAGGCACAAAGCCATCAGCCCGTGTAATTACAGATGCTTAATTAGTGACAGCAGGGCGCTTTCTTAACAAAGCAAATTAATTACAGGCAATGTGCTGCATCGAGATCTGAAGGCACTGATGAAGGCTGGGACCACCTGGGCTGGGAACATCTCCCCTGTCCCCACCCCCCAGGACACAGCACAGCCTGTGCCACCGAGTCCTCGTGGATGCAGAGATTGGGACCAGGATGTCACCTGGGGTTGGGGGACAGGCTTCGTGACACCCCCTGCCTCGAGGTGGCTCAGGGGGAGGAAACCACCCCGGACTGATGGGTATCCTGAAGCACCCATCCAGGATCTTCTGGGATCACGGGCTGGGATGTGCCAGAGAAACCACCTCGGGAAGCATTGGAGCTCACAGCCTCTCCTCCAGCACGTTGTAGTACTCTGTGGAGAAAGGGAGGAGCTGGAGGATGTACAAGGGATGTCCCACCTTGGGGGATCAAAGCCAGGGAAGATGTTCCTCGCTGAGGGACATGGGGAGAACGTGTCCTTACCTGCTGCCGGTGGGACGCTGGGCCCCACCGTGCCGGTGGCGCTGGGGGGTGGAGGAGGGGGCACCGCCCTACTGGAGGGGAGCAAGGACAAGGGAATGTTGGATCCCAGCTTGGGCTGGAAGGCCTGTCACACCGGGGAGCAGGTGGCAGAAAACCGCTCCCTCGTTACTCACGCCTCATCCTCCGCTAACGAGCCCAGGTACCGCACAGCCACGGGACCCCGGTCCCGCTCCGGGATAAAAACAGGACCTGGGTAGGGGATGTAGTGATGGTGGAAAACCACAGCCTCCTCCTCCTCCTCCTCCTCCTCCTCGGTCTGCCAAGGCATCGCCAGCGCCTGTGGGGAGGAACAAAAGGCAGGGCCGTGCCAGGCCCCTCGTGCCCCTTCTCCCCAAGCACTTCCCACGGAGCCACGCTTGGCTGCTCCCAGCGCCCAGCTGGGTGGGCTCGGCCCCACACAAAGCCCCCACGGTCAGCCAGCGTGGGAACCCGGCTGGCTGGGGACACGGCGGGGGTGGTGGCAGCCCCACAGATGGGACCTCGAAACGCTGCTGGGAAGAGCCCTTTTGATCCAGCCACAGCAGGGGCCAGTCGGGGCCAGCACTGCACTGGTGGGCACTGGGAGGGCAGGGAGGGGGGTGGATGGCTAGAGGTGCCAGCTGGCAGCGAGCACAGCAGCTGCCCAGGGCCCAGCTCCCACCCCTGCCCAGAAAGCACCATTGTTTGCCTGTGAGGAGATGAAATGTTTTAATGTGATTTTGGGTCGAGGCGAACTTTAAAACGACAGCCCTTGCAAGAGCACACAAAGGGAGGGTCCTGCCTCTTCCCAGCTGGGCTAAACCACCTCCCAGCAGCCTGGATGTGATCTGTGCTGGCAGAGCTGAGGGGTCAAACCAGCCCAGAGAGCTCCAAAACCACAGGGCGCTGCAGAGCCTGCGCTGAGCTGGGCTGAGACCACCCAGCTTTGCACCTGGAGGAGTCCCACGCTGTGCCAGAGTGGGACATGGTCATTCTATTCTCCTGAGACACCCTGCAAAGATCCCTTTGCCCATCCAGCACCCCTGGCCCCTACCTGGGCAGTGGCTGCGGACGGGCCAAAGCCGAAGGACGTCAGTGCCGACACGGCCAGGCCGTTCATCACCACCTGGTGCATTTGGGAGTTCTGAATCATCATCAACTCGATTAAATCTGCCAGAATATGGAGGGTTCTGCGTCAGAGAGGGATCAGAGCAAGGGCAGGAGAAGCACAGCCACGGGATGAGTGCCTGGGACGGGGCGGCACCGAGGCTCATCCTTGTTCCCAAGCCAGACTTCCCCCGCCCCAATTTGAAAGGCCCACGAGGCATTTAAAAATTCTTTTGCTCGGATAAAGCTTTTAAAATAGCCACATTTCAGCCTTTTCTTCTTTGCAAATGTGATTAAACATCTGGTCTGGCTCGCTGGAGGCTGCTCACAAGGGGTGATTAGCGGTGCTGGAGGCACCAGACTTTCCACCCATTCGGAGGAGAGCTGCTCCCGCTCTGGCAGCGTTCCACGGCTTGGCAAAGCCTCTGTCTTGGCATCAGCTGGCAGAGCTGGTGTCCTTGGGGTGGCAGTGCATGGGAGCACGCCAAGGTCAGCTCTGCTTTGTGCCATGTCACACAGGGGAATTCTCAGAAACCCCCCCAAAGGAGGCAGGAGCTGGGGCTGGACCGTGGGGATGATCCCCGGGGTCCCCATCTCCATTCCTGGGAGCTGGGGCTGGGAGAAGAGCAGGTTGGGGATGTTTGGTGGCTCCTCAGCCCCTGCCTGGCTCCATACCAGGATGTGGGACCCAGAGCAGCCGTGCATGTGCAGGACAGCATCCCAGTCCCCTTGGCTGAGGTCAATCCGACTGCAGAGGACACATAGTCTGGGTCTGCATCCCCAATAAAACACCTCCATTCGATGCAGGCGTGAAATTCCCCTGCAAAAATACCTGTAAACCTGCCAGAGGGGCTCCCTCTGAGATCCTGCTGTTTCTGTGCATGAGACTTGCCCAGAAAAGCTGTGGCTGCCCCACCCCTGGAAGTTTGGACAGGGCTTGGAGTAACCTGATCTAGTGGAAGGTGTCCCTCCCCATGGCAGGGGGTTGGAATTGGATGAGCTTTAAGGTCCCTTCCAACCCAAAGCATTCTGAACTTCCTTGATTCTGTGACCTGTGAGTCCCATTTAGCTGGAGCCTGGGTTAAAAAAAAAAAAAAAAAAAAAAGGATTTGGGAATCCCTGTGCCCCATGTGCCAGGTCCTCAAATGTTTCAGAACAGCAGGGATGGGCTCCCAGGACACCCATGAGGTGAGTGGCCCTTCAGCAAGGAGCATCCCAGCACAGCCTGGGAGGTGGCCAGAGCTGGAGCTGGGAGGAAGGAGCGGGCCAGCAGCCAGGCATTGAACCAGGGAGGGAAGGACATGAAGTTCTGGCAGCTCTGAATGGATCCCACCCACGCCCAGGGCTCTGAAGGGCTGGGGCTCTGTTTTCTTTCCACGCCGATTTTCAGCATCATCTTTCCTCCACGGATTTTTCAAGACAATTCAACGTTTCTCCTCCCCACGACGCTGCACAGCTTTGTCCATGGCCTGTACTCAGAGACCACAAACCCCCCTGTCTCTGCTCCCCCCAGCCCTGGGTGGCACAAGGTTGGGTGAAATCCCTGTAGATAGTTGCACATCCTGCCTGCACATCCCACGGGCTGTGTCCCAGCTTGTTCCCATCTGGTCCCACCTCACGTGGCCATGGGGCCCTTGGTGATGCTACCTGTGGCCCTCATGAAACCCTCAGGGGTTTTGGACAAAAAAAAACAGGTTAAAAACAATTAAAATTAAATTAAAAACAAGCAAACAAAAACATCCAGAACAAAAACCACAAAACCAAAACCCAAACAAACAAACAAAAACCCCCAAACACCCAAAAACGTTCCCTGAGAGCACCCTGGTGTGGCCAAAGCCAGCCCAGACTTCAAGTTTGGTAAAACCCCCCAAAATCCCATCCCGTGGGGCCAAGCAGCCGTCCAAGGGTGGCGTGGGCTGTTCCTGAGAGGCTCCAGAGGGGTGGGCACGGCCCCCCTGCCTGCCCAGCTGCGTCGGGAAAAGACTGGAAAAGGAGAAGAGGATGAAGTTAAACCGGGTTTAGCGCTGACCTCTCCCACCTCTTCCATCACGCACCTCCCCGGACGGGCGGGGGTCGCGCGGGGGGGGCCAGGACAGCCCCGGGCCCTGGAAGCTGCTGGAGGATCATCAGGGGCTGCTGGGACACCGGCACGGCGAGCTGAGAGGAAGGAGGGGATGGAAAACACCAGGAATGTCCACTCCGGGTTTAATTTAGTGCCCTGCCAGTGGGGAGGAGAGGGGCCAGGGGCTGGTGGCAGGGAGCAGGGGGGGGGGACAGTGTCACCTTTGGGGACACGTCCCTGTGCAGGGATGGCCTTCCCGGGCCCGAAGGGAGCAGGGAGGCGTTTTGTAACGAGCAGCTTTGCTACCCCACAGCCTAAATCCCGACCCCAGCCCCTCTTCTCTCCTCCCACCTCATTCCCTTTCCCACCTCGCATCCCATAAATCCAGAGGCAGAAGCGCTCCCTGGGGCTTACCCTGTGTGGGATGAGGTAGGTCCCTGCTGGGGGGTCCCCCCGGGCCCCGGGAGGGTCTCCTGCTGCCCCCATTTCCATGGCTCGGGCGATGAGGATCTGCAGCAGGAGCCGGGATCGTTGCTACGGCTGCGGGAGAGAAACAAACCCTCCCCGGAGGCTTGGCCGGGCAAGGAATGTCCCTGGGCTGGTTTTCCCTGCAGTGTATCCCCAGGAAAGGTCCCTTGCCAGCACCCGGAGGGGCTGGGAGGCATCTGCAGCATCTCCCCGTGGGGCTGAGCCACGTCCCCTGAACCTGGGCGAGCCCTGGGATGTGAGAGCAAACCTGGCGAGGTTTTTCTGCAGGGAACTTTGGGAGATGGGTCTGGCTGAGTCTGGGGTGAGTTTGGATATCAGAATGGGGGTTGGCTCTTCCAGGATGTGCTGTGTGATGATGGAGACACCCCTGTCTTGTCTGTCTCTGTTGGTGGAAGGAGAAGATCCTTCCAACCCATGGGATGTCCCCTCAGAAACATCCCCCCGTGCACAGCCAAAACACAGTGGCCCAGGACGATCCCCAAGATGTCCCTGGCACAGTTCCAGGTGCCCTGGGTCTGTCTCCCAACCTTCTGGACCACTTCCCCAGGGATGCAATGACCAACCAGCATATCCCCCCCATGGAAATCCCAGCAAGACTGAGCACAAACCAGCGGCACCGGAGCGTGGCTCCAGCCTGCTGCTCTCCCCTGCCTCGAGTCCCTCCCAGGATGCTGCCAGGGGGGGAATTTGTGTCCAGCAGACCACAACCAGCTCACGTTTTCCATTTATCTCCCCCTTGCAGAGAGCTCTGCATGTCCAAACTCATCCCAGGGAAACGCTGTGGCTGGGAACGGTGAGTCTGTGTGAAATATTTAATCCCCAGCAAACCCTTTGCAGTGAAAAACCACTTTCTCCCCTCTGAAGAGTCCAACTGATCCCAACCCCGCTGGCCTCAGGTATCTCTCCCCCACCTCCACCAGCTGCATTTCCCTGGCTGCCCCTCTGGGTGATTATTTGCATGGATGTTGCATCCAAAATCTGCCCTGCACCAGTGGCGCAGATCTGGGAACTTTTCCCGGGAACTCAGCCTGCAGCCAGCCCTGCTCAGCAAGCAGGGACAGATTTCTCCAAAAACTCTTGTTCTGCCCCAGAATGGCACCGAGACCCCCCCCCAAGTGCCAGGGGAGGAGCTCTCCAAGGGCCTCAGCCCCCAACTGTTGGCTCCAGTCGGGCTATTTGCTGCTTGATTAGATTTTCCTCTGTGTTCTTAATTTTTCCAAACCCCTCTGGATTGTTTTTCTGCCTTTTGTTCTAACTCCCAAATCCCAGTTATTTGCACATTTAATTACTGTGCTGATTCCTCCTCGTTTCTGGCAGAGCCTGATGAGCAGAGCCCGGCTGTCAGCCCTGCTCGTATCTGGGGGAGGGATTCAAGCACCAGGAATCTGGTGAGGGGTCTAAGAAACCTTGGGGGGGACATGAGGGGGGACAGGGGACCTGCTTGGAATGTCCTCAGCACTCCCATGGCAGCCTGAGCCCCTCTGGAAGTGTTATGATCTGCTCTCCTGCATGGGAGAGGTCAAGGAGAAGGAGGAGAAGGAAAGAGGGAAAGAGAGAAAGAGAAAGAGAGAGGAAGGGAGGAAGGAAGGAAAGGAAGGAAGGAGAAAGAGAGAAAAGGAGAGAGACAGAAAGAGAGAAAAAGAGAGAGAAAGAGAGAGAAAGAAAGAAAGAGAGAGAGAGAAAGAGAGAGAAAGAGAAAGAAAGAGAAAGAGAAAGAAAGAGAAAGAAAGAGAAAGAAAGAGAAAGAGAAAGAGAAAGAGAAAGAGAAAGAGAAAGAGAAAGAGAAAGAAAGAGAAAGAGAAAGAAAAAGAAAGAGAAAGAAAGAGAAAGAAAGAGAAAGAGAAAGAAAGAGAAAGAGAAAGAGAAAGAGAAAGAGGAAGAGAAAGAGAAAGAGAAAGAGAAAGAGAAAGAGAAAGAGAAAGAGAAAGAGAAAGAGAAAGAGAAAGAGAAAGAGAAAGAGAAAGAGAAAGAGAAAGAGAAAGAGAAAGAGAAAGAGAAAGAGAGAAAGAGAAAGAGAGAAAGAGAAAATGAGATAGGAAGAAATGAATAAAGAAAGAGGAAGAAAGAAAGAGAGAAGAAAGAGAGTAAGAAAGGAAAAAAGGAAAAAGAGAGAGAGAGGAAGAAATTAAGAAAGAGAAAAAGAGAAAGAAATGAAAGAAAGAGAGAATAAGAGGAAGAAAGAAAAGAAAGAAAAAGAAATAGAAGAAAGAAATGAAAGAAAGGAAGAAAGGAAAGAAAGAAAAGAAGGAAGGATGAGCAGGAGGATCAACAGCCAGATGGATGCTGAGTGGCATGGATGCTGATAGGCACTGGCCAGGAAAGCAGAGTCTGGGCACAGGGAAAGGCAAGTGTCAATGCCTGTGGGCTGGGGACAAAGGCAGCTGTGGCTGTGCTGTCCCCAGGACACTGCCCAGAGACACCTTTTATAGGCAGAAATGATCCTCCCCCTGGAGGAACCACCAACGAGGTGGAGTGAGGACCCTCATCAGCCAACTCATCTACACCAAGGAGAGGTGACATCCCAGGATCAGTTTATATTCCCCACCTTGGAGTGCCTGTTGGAGGGCACATCAGCCATCCACATGTGCATCACAGGAAACCAGGGCCCAGGAGAGATCAGAGGATTTCACAGTTCTGGTGGGGATGGACCCCCTTGTCCCCAGTAAGAGCCCCCTTGCCAACCCCAACCCCCAGGATGACACTCCTGCCAAGAGACACCCTGAGGATGCTCAGCAGATGGTTTTGCTGGCAGCCCTCCCTTGGGAAGCTCTCGACCCCTTCTCTTCCTGTAACTTTGGGATTTCTTGTTCTGGAAGCCCTCACTTAAATCTCAAACCCAAAGCTGGGATCTCAGCCCAGGTTAGGCAGAGCTTGAGTTCCATCACAGGCTTTGCTTTGGACCAGGAATTTTGCCTTTCAGGACCAAGGCAGTGGCTCTGAAACAAGAGTCAGGCCCCTGGGGAGCAGGAGGGACAGAGACCCTCTGCCAAACCCTTGGACAGGAACATCTGCACTGTGTAGGTGCTGCACCAGGCACCTGGAGCAGGGACAGCAGGATCCAGCCCCTCAGTGCTCTCTCTGCATGGATCTCTCCTTGCAGCGCAAGCAGGAAACACTGAGCATGGATAAACTTTATCAAATTAGCCAAGCAGGGGCAGGCAGGGCACGAGGGCCAGTCATCAGACCGGGATCACCAGGATGATGATGCATCGAGCGGGGTTGAGCTGTGCTCTGATATGGCCCGGCTGCAATCACACCCCGAGCTGCCCTCGATAACTGGGGGAGGGCACTGAGCTGACAGCACATCCCTTGTGCCACTTCCCTTCCCTGGAAGCAAACTGGAGCCAGAGAGATTCCCCAAATGAGGAAACACCGGCAGGCCTTGCCTAAGACTCGTGGAAGATGAAGTAAACACCGCTGAGGCAACACATCCCCCCCCTCCCCCCGTAATCCCTGCTGGCTCCAGAGGGGGATCAAAAACCAGTCCAAAAACCAGTTTGTCATTGCACACCAGGACAAGCCCCGGATGTGGAGTGGCAGTTTGGCAGCTGCTGTCCCCCATGCTGTCCCCCATCACACTGTCACACACAGCCACTTGGACACACATCTCTGGGAGATTGCTCCGTGGTCCCAGGACCGTGAGTGAGTTTAAGCTTCTCGTTTTGAAAGATAACTACAAAAAATACCCACTTTCCTTTTCCAGGAGGTCTCATGCTGCTGGTGCTTTGAGACCCATCTTCCCCGACCCATCATCCAGTCACTGTGGTCTCCTCTTCCTCCAGATCACCCCTCAAAGACCCTTTCCTTCCACAGAGCCCAAAACCAGGGAAGAGTTTGTTGGTGCAGGGTGGGGACACTCCACTTTGCTGTAAGGTGGGATGGAGGCAACCCCATGAGTAACTTCCACCCCTTGGTAAATGAGCATTTGTCACTTGCAAAGGAAGATTCCTGTCAGTGACTTCCTTTGCTTTGGAAACGGCTGAGTCATCCCTAATTACCCACACGCACCAGCAGCGATCCCAGCACTGGAGGAGGATTAATGGGAGCGCCCGTGGCTGAAGGGCAGCCTCCGGGGAGATTCCCTGGGGATTTGGCAGGGACGCAGTGGCTGCTGTGTGCCACCCACGGCCCTCCGTGGCTGTGCTGTCACACCAAAGCCATGTGCCCGAGGCAAATCACCCCATCCTGTCCCCTCCAGCCACTCACCATCATCACCGGCACAGGGATGGGTACGACCACCCCCTATGGGACCACCGTGTTGGGGATCCCAGAGTGGGCTGGAGGGTCCTGGGCCAGCCAGGATTTGCAATCAAGCGAGTTTGTCCTCATTTAGTTTCCACTTGCTGCTGCAAAAGGGAACGATGAGCCCCAAACCGGCAGGGCTGGGCAGGTCACCCCGCAGCAGGAAGGAGGTCAAGCCACCATCGTCTGTCCTAGCTCATCCTCGCTGGAGGAAGAAGGGCAGGAGCAGCTCAGGAAGGTGTGGGTGGCTGGGCATCACCTGAGGGATCCCCCTGGCTCTCCATTTTCCAGGTGCTTCCTGGGGGAAGGGGAGAGCCACGCACACCCCACGGGGGGAGGTTTTGCCAACCTGCCCACCCGGCCTTTCCCACCAGGGAGGACCAGACCTGCCACCTCCAAAACCGGGGCCAGACCCTCCCAGTCCATTTGCCACCAGGTGGCACCGGATTAACTGGCCTTGTTGGGGACACATCGGGCATCTCCCCCCAGACCAGACCCCCATCCCCCATCCCGCTGTGCCCGAGCCAGCGGGGCGATGCCAGCTGGAGCGCAGGGTTATTTGCAGCAGGGCTTGTTTAATTTGGTTCTAGGCGCCCTCCCACGTGTTTATATGCTTCGGAAAAGTAAATTATTGCGTTTGGGTGTTTACGTTTTACTGGGACCATTAGATGTTAATGAGCCTGGCCGGGCCTGGGCAGCCTTTTGTGTCAACATAACCGCGGGCTCAGCCTTTGCCGCCCGGAGCAGCGCGGGCCACTCCTAATT